GCCTCTGTTTGTCAGAGGGTGGAGATGGATGGCAGGAGAGAGATCACTTGATCATTACCTGTTAGGTTCACTCCCTCTGGGGCACCTGGCATTGGCCACTGTTGGTAGACAGGATACTGGGCTAGATGGACCTTTGGTCTGACCCAGTATGGCCATTCTTATGTTCTAAAGCTGCATAACATAAACCTGTGTTCTTTGGATGTCATTGCCTAGTGGGCCATCCACCCTGTCTGTGGCCCAGTTCCAGGCAACTGCTCTAACTGAGGTTGGTCAAAAGTTAGGCCGGTCCTTACGGTTCTTGATGCAGAACAAGGCCAGGTTTTAGCATTGCTCAGGCTGGAACAGGGAGCATAGTTGGCTACTCTTCCAGTCTTCTGACAGGTCTTATGATTTGGGGGTGTATTTATTTAAAGCCCCAGCTGCTGGCAGCGAGAGATTGCACATGGAGCTCAGCTTGCTTTCTTTTTCAAGTAACTTTCTAACCCTCGTGTCAGCCGAGAAAAGCTCGAGAACACGGAGCGCGTGTGATTTCCAGGCTCGGAGCCCGGAAGGCAAAGAAGCAGCACCTGCAATTCATTAAAAATCATGAGAGTGTTATGGAAAAATTCAGTTGTTTGCCGTGTTGTCGCTGGGTTGGCCCCAGGATACTAGAGGGAGATGGTGGGTAGGGTGACCAGATAGAAAGTGTGAAAAATCGGGACAGGAGGTGGGGGGTAATAGGCCCAAGCCCCAAATATCGGGACTGTCCCTATAAAATCGGGACATCTGGTCACCCTAATGGTGGGAGAGGCAATATCTTTGACTGCACCGATTTCTGCTGGGGAGAGAGGCAAGCTTTGGCACCACAGAGCTGTTTCAGGGTCCGAGGGGGATGCTTGGAAGACTGGGGGGGGTCGTCTGAGGGGGAGTGTTCTGGGGTGAGGGGATGCTGGGGGGGTGTTATGGGGCGGGGGCGTGGCACTACGCGGGTCAGGGGTGTGTGTGGGGGGCCCTATGGGAATGCGGGGAGGGGCACGTTGGGGGCAGCTCCGGCCCCTCACCCCCAGCAGCCGCTATAACCGCCCAGGATGTTTGAGTCACTCTGACGCGTTAGGGGGCTGGCTGCAGGCCCGACGCCGGCCGAATGGGCGGGCTGAGCGCGCCGCGCCTAGGACTCGGAGCGGGGGCGGGCTCTGGTCTGGAGCCGCCCCTCCCGACTCCCGCGCCGCTGGGAGAGCGGGCAGGGCCCCGCCTCCGGGCGCTGGGGCAGGAGGGTAAGGCCGCGCCCAGGCCCGGCAGCTTGGCGGGGCGGTATGGGGCCGCACTGGGGGGGTCCCCGGGCGGAATGCTGGGATAGGTGTGGGGTGCTGAGAGGGTGCTGTGGGGTGCCGTGAGGATTGTGTGGGGTGCCGTGAGGCCAGGGGATGCTGGGAGGTGCTGGGGTGGCAGGGGATGTTGGGAGGGTTGTGGGGGGCAGGGGGTGCTGAGAGGATTGTGTGGGGTGCCGTGAGGCCAGGGGATGCTGGGGGGGGGGAAGGAGGTGCTGGGGTGGCAGGGGATGCTGGGAGGGTTGTGGGGGGGGTGCTGGGAGGGTTGTGGGGGAGGCAGGGGGTGCTGTGGAGGTCAAGGAATGCTGGGAGGGGAGCGAGGGGGATGCTGGGAGTGTTGTGGGGGGCGGTGGGATGCTGGGAGAGGTGTGGGAGACATGCTGTGGGGGCAAGGGGCAATGCTGGGAGGGGTGTATGATTGGGAGATGCTGGGAGGGTGTGTGGGCCACTATGAGGGGCAAGAGGTTGCCAACCTTGGTTGGACATATTCCTGGAGGTTTCATCAGATGACCTAATCTTTAATTCCTGGACACTCCAGGACAATCCCAGAGGGTTGGCAACCCTAACTAGGGGGATGCTGGGACTGATGTGTGGGACATGTAATGTGGGTTGTACACAATGTGTGGCTGTGGTGGAATGTAATGGGGTCTGTGTGGGGAAGTAATTGGGGTTGCTGTGGGGTGTGTGGTTATGGGATTAGGGTATGTATTCGGAGGTGTGAAGTGGATTCTGTACTAACCCCATGCACCCTGGGATAGGATGTGTAGGCATGAGGGATGAATTTCAGTGTCCCCCTTTGAGGTCTGAACAACACAAACAAAAAAATAGTCCCTCTTCTCTGCATCTGATACTTTTGTTTTTCTCATTTAAAAAACAACAATGAGTAAAATCAAAAGTATGTTAAAATAAAATACACTCTTTGTGCACAATGGACTGGAACTAATTGTATCAACATTGTTCCCTCAAAAATCTCCTCAATCCTGCCTAATACTTTTTGTAACACATTGTTAAGAGAATGAAAATATCATCTATAAAATCTCCTTTCTCATAAATTTACATATATGTTCATATTATGTTCTACTCTTAATTATTGAGTCTACTTTATATTTCCTAATGCACCCTGCAGTGCAGGCACAATTGTTATCAAAGCCATCTTAATACTTAGCAATCTAGCATTCAGACCCAGAGTCTGCTAATCACAGATGAAGATACAGGGAGAAGCAAGAGATGAGATAGCAAGATACTATTCTAAGTGGTGTATGATTAACAGAAGTCTTCTTATGGGGGAGAAAATTGGCATCAATTTGTATTATACTGATAAGTGCTTCACCCACTGCATAATGATGAATTGTTTGTGGGTTTTTTTTGTTTTTTGTCACATGCCTTTTGTTCAGTCAGTTACTGCTAGCATTGCCTAAGCTTACAGAAGAAACAGCTTCCTGGTCTTGATTCTCCTACATCAGCATAAACCTATTGAAGTCAGCTGAGGGAGTTGCACTGTTTTTGTTTTGTTTGTTTTTTTACACTGGAGCAAGTGAGATCAGAATCAGTTCTAAAGATCTTGTTGGAGTGGGAGCCACTAGACCAGTGATTCTCAAACTTTTGTACTGGTGACCCCTTTCACATAACAAGCCTCTGAGTGCAACCCCCCATATAAATTAAAAACACCTTTTTAATGTATTTAACACCATTATAAATGCTGGAGGCAAAGCGGGGTTTGGGGTGGAGGCTGACAGCTCGCGACCCCCCAGGTAATAACCTCACGATCCCCTGAGGCGTCCCGACCCTCAGTTTGAAAACCCCTGACCTAGAATGATATAGTAGCAAAAGGGATTTTTTAAAGCAGAGAATGAAGTGAGGGAATGACATAATACATAGAACTAGACTGGGAATTGTGAGTTTGCAGCAAAACTTTCCCATGCTGGTCACTTCCCTCTCCCCTCCAAAAAGCAGAAGCTGCTTGTGTGTTTGGGGGCTGGGTATGGAAATTGTAGGGAAAAGAGGAAGCTAAACGGCCTGTGCCTCAGCAATCCTGGCTGGTTAGCTAGCAACAGGCTGTGGAAAACAGCTTGTTAGCTTACCAACACCTCAGAAAAGGAATGAGAGGCTGGGGGTCATCAGGTGGTGGTAGAGGAAGGAAGGAAGCTGTTTAGAATACATGCTAGGTATGAAAACAGGATTTTATAAATGCTTTTGGTCTTTTCTCTCTTTCAGATGAAGGTAATTAAACATTCTGAGCAGATCCTGAAGACAGCATTGATCTCCAAGAACACACAGCTTGTGAAGCTGTATGAGAATCTTGAGTCTAGGGAGAAGTGTTTGCTGAATGAAGCGTTTCAGCCAGACAGTGTTCTCTTCAGACCCATCACTCTTCATTCGGAGTCAGACTGGATCTCCTCACACCCTGAGCCCACCCAGGACTTTGAACAGTTTTATAACGATCCTTACAGAAGCAGACCGACATCTCAGAAAAGTGCCATTTATGTACAGCCCATTGGTAATGTCTAACTGTGATCGCTGAACCAAGCCATCTGTGTCTTTAGTTCATATTTAATGGGACAGGCATATTAATTAGGTTATATGTTCCAATTTTCAAATAAAAAGACTTTATAATAGATCTCAGACAAAGTGGTCTAGTGGTTAGAGCAGGGGACTTGGGAGTCAGGACTCCTGGGTTTTATTCCTGATTCAGACATTCAGCTATGGTGTTATGGAAAATTCACTAAAGTCCTGATCCTGCAAGCGCTTATGGATGTGCTTAACTTTACTCATCCGAGTAGTCCTATTAGAGTCAATGGAACTGAGTCATGTGAGTAGTGGTAAACTTGTCCATAAATACTTGTAGGATTAGGCCTTTTTGTGCCTCGGTTTACCTATGTTCAAAATGGTGAATATTTAATTAAGCATTACTGGAGTGTTGTGAAGCTTAATCAATGTTTACAATGTGCTTTGATTTCTTTGGATGAAAGGTGCTATAGAAATGCAAATTACTGTTTTTAATATTTTTTTTTTCTGTAGTGTGTTGCATAGAGATATGTCATTGAGGATTACAGTAAATAATATAGATGGATTTAAGTTGTACTTCCTGGTAGCTTTCACAGTTTTTGATTAACTTGTGTATAAAATTGTGTTTTAAGAAAAACAGGAACAGTCATAATCTTGGGAAAAGAAACCCATTGAAGGTAAAAACAAACCAACAAACAAATACAATATGCTAAACCTCAGTCCTTCAGTTTCCCTACTCCATCCATATTTGATCAGTGTTTATGGGAGTTGCCATTACTCTTAAAGCTGAAATTTTAATTACAGTTATGAGTAATCGATTCACTATTGCAGTCTACAGCACTGACGTCAGTTTCTGTGTTGCCTCTTGTGGGTAGCATTGTATTGTTTGGTTGTTTTTAATATCCAGTATCTCAGCACTTGACAGTGATAAACAATGCCCTTATTTAAAAAACAAACAAACCTCCCGCTTCATTACTGTACAATAATTATCCCAAACATGGCTGTATCATTGTTATGAGATGTAGTACCTTGGAGTATTGCAGTAGAATAACTTGATCGCTTTGTTTTTAGGCTAAGGGAATAGAAGTTAATAAAATAAAGAGAGGCTTTCTTGGAATTGCATGGAAATGGTGAAAGGTTAATTGTGTTTGTGCCGTGTTCTATAATATTGCTTGTATTTTCTTTTGATAACTTGGGGTAAATGTGATGTTCATTAACAAACATGAAATAAGAGGGAATATTAAAGTTATCATTCTTTTGGGGGATTTAAAAAAAATATGAGTTGATTGAATGAACTGCCATAGCAGGTTTATAACCTGATGTTATTTTGGACTGCTTATATAGGTTCTTTTGGGGACACCAAAGTTAGTACGGAGGATTATATGAAATGGTTGAAGGATTACTGTGAAGCCTTTTACTATGGCCTATCTGTAAAAATCCTGGAGCCGGTTCCTGTTTCACACACAAGTTGTGCTTTTCGAGTGAATGAGTACACATGCAATCTACAGATTCATGCAGGTATGTAGGGAGGAGGAGAACAGCATCAAGTTCAGAACCACCTCATTGCTAAAAGATTGGGATAATAAAGAAATGAAAACTGAGTTTCTTGACACTCTAAGTCGGGGTGTTGTTATGATAAATACATTAAAGATTGTGAGGTGTTCAGATACAACAGTATGGGGGGGTTATATCAGTGCCGTAGGCAGACAGAGAGAAGGATGGATAACTTCAGATTCTTTGTCAGCAGCGCACCAGAATCTCCAGTCATGATGTGACCTACAGTGTAGTGGAGAAGTGTGGCTTAGTTGTTTGAGCATAAGTCTAGGACTCAGTAATGCAAGATCCTAATCCCAGCTCTGGTTTCAGACCTGATTCTGCAACCTTTATTCATGTGAGTAGTTCCGTTGCCATCAGTGGCGTTATTCATTCAAGTAAGAGCATCCGCATCAGGCTTCAAAAAAGCAGCTGAGTCATTCTGTTATAGCAATAGAACACATGCCTGGTAGTGCATTCAGGCTTGATCACTAAGTTCCCTAAACTAACCAAATGGTCAGCTAGCCAAGTAGTTTTCTCTTGAACGTTAGTTATTTAAAACGAAAGCAAATGTACTGTATGAATCTAAAGATCAAATAGATGTCCAGCTAGTTTAAACTGAGATACATTTTCTTTGGATACTGCCATGAAATCACTTGATGATTACCTATTCATAGAGGTTTTTAAGGTCAGGCTTGACAAAGCCCTGGCTGGGATGATTTAGTTGGGAATTGGTCCGGCTTTGAGCAGGGGGTTGGACTAGATGACCTCCTGGGGGTCCCTTCCATCCCTGATATTCTATGATTCCCTCTGAAGCACCTGGCATTGGCCACTGTCGGAAGACGAGATACTGGGCTAGACGGACCTTTGGTCTGACCAGTATGGCCTTTCTTCTGTTTCTAATGTTATCTTTTTTGACCCTTAGAATGTCAGTCATGGTGGTGATTTTTGTGATGTGACTACTAGAAACTTTCCTGAGACCACCAAGTGTTCCTCTGACTTTTAGGACATTTAACCTGCAATAGATTCAAGCATCTACCTTTATTAAGCATCCTGACCACTCTTGTAAAACAATAATTCACTGCATTGAATAGAAAAATATTATCTACCCTAAGGGCTTGTCTAGGCTTATTGCTTTGCCAAAGCTCACTATGAAACTTTCAGTGCCCTTTAGCAGGGTCCACGTAGCAACTTAATGCACAGCAAGCTAGTGTACTGTAGCTTTCTGTGCACTAATATAGTGTGTTGACAAGCCCCGATTCATCCTGATACCAATCCTGCAAGCAGAACTCCCATTGGAAATTCTGTGTATGGAGGGTTTTTATAGGATCTGACCGCATGTTAGCAGCATTAGTGGCTCCAGTTTGATAATGTGGCTGGACCCCTACATCGCATAATCCATTACTCCAGTATCCCTTTCAGGAGTCTGATTTGTCTCGTGTACTCCCAAGTTACACCTCACTTAAAAACTACTTGCTTACAAAATCAGACATAAAAATACAAAAGTGGCACAGCACACTATTGTTGAAAAATTGCTGACTTTCTCATTTTTACCCTATAATTATAAAATAAATCAACTGGAATATAAATATTGTACTTACAGTTCAGTGTATAGTATATAGAGCAGTACAAACAAGTCATTGTCAGTATGAAATTTTAGTTTGTAGTGACTTCGCTACTGCTTTTTATGTAGCCTATTGTAAAACTAGGCAAATATCTAGATGGGTTGATGTACCCCCAGCAACACCTCTGAATACCCACCTGGTTGAGAACCACTGGCATAATCCTATGACTGCTTTCACAGGTTTCCTCTGTGGTGACTCATGCTTCTTTTGAAGGGACTTTTTTTCTGATTATACAGGGGACCTCTTGAAATACCTAAAGAAGAAAAAGCCAGAAGATGCTTTCTGTATTGTTGGGATAACAATGATAGATCTTTATCCAACGGAGTCCTGGAATTTTGTCTTTGGCCAAGCCTCTTTGACAGAAGGTATTATGTCCGGAGTATATCAGTGGAGAAAACTAAAATGACTCCAAAATGCTAGGAATCAATTTACTGTTAAAATGTGTATAAAATGATAAATATGGGAAACGTGAATTAAATTGATATATAATTCATGGGTATATAATTTTAAAAATAGTGTGTGATATTGTTCAAACTCGTACAGTTCAAAGTCACTACATTCGAAAGACAGTCAAAAAGTAAGAAACAGTTTTGATTGATCTACTGTTAAAAGAAAAATCCCTAAAACTTTGTTCATAACTTTAAATATGTTTCCCTTTCTATACCGAATCTTGTTGGATTAGTTCACAGCCCTAAAGGGGATTTTTTGGTTGACACAGTTGGGTTGGTGTTGGTTTCTGTTTGTTTGTTTAGAGAGTTACAGAAGTGCCAAAGAAATTGAGTTCACATTTTCAAGATGTCATTTTTCATACTCTGGTAAGTAAACAGTGCATTTTGCTTTTTAAAACAAAATCTTATGCAAATAAAGAAGGCTTTGCTGCCCAAAGAACTTAAACACAGCTCAGAACATGTCAACGTCTGTCCAAATCACCTATTTTTCTACTGCCACAAGCAGAGGGTGGGCTGAAAAAGAACAGCCAAAATTAGTGAGTTGCTGCTACAAAGACTCTGAGGACCTTCTGCAACTCCAAAACCCGTTGGCAAAGGGTCCCTGTTCTTTGCAGACAACTGTCACCTCAGACAAACCCAGTACACCAAACATTGTACAGGATATTTATCCATAAAGAGAAACGTAAGCTATCTACAGAAGACTCATAACTTGTCAAGATTCATAATCATTGTGAGATATATGTATGGGATGGATATATATGAAATGAGAGAGCGAATGCTTTATGACTTGCAGTAAAAATGAGTCATTGGGGTTAATGCCTGTTCCAGGATGGGGGAGTTGTCACCCCTTGCTGTTTAGCCGAGGATGCAATGCAAGGCTCAGTTTAGCTTTGTGCAATAGTAAGACTTTGAATGGGAAACCATCAGAGCCAACTGCAAACAATCGAAACCACTTGAAGGTAAAAAAAGGGACTTTACAACAAGACAGGGGTTTGCCCTGTCTCTGAATAGGAACAAAAGGTTGGTTTCAGTATAACAGGAGGAAAGACCCTCTGGATCCATTCACTAAGGAAACCCCTTGTGGAACGAGGGTGTTTTCATGCATGTTTGCATCATGTTTCTTGGTAAACCAGACAGCTCTGCAATAGCTCAGTGGTTTGAGCATTGTCCTGCTAAACTCGGGTTGGGAGTTCAATCCTTGAGGAAGCCATTTAGAGATCTGAGGCAAAAATCTGTCTGGGGATTGGTCCTGCTTTGAGGAGAGGGTTGGAATAGATGACCTCCTGAGGTCCCTTCCAACCCTGATATTCTATGGTAACAGACTGACCTTTGTGGGGAAAACCTACTTTATTTGGTAGGAAAGGTATTTATTAATAAATATAGACCCAAGTTCACATTTTGTGATTCTGTTTTGCACTGTAACCATATGTTTCCACTGCTCTCTTGTTTCTAGTTAAATCTTTATTCTTTCTTACAATAAAACAATACTAGCTTTATTTCAGTGCTCACAAGGACTGTGTGGTTTACAGGAGCGGTGGTTTAAGATAAAACTGGAATACACTACTCCTTTGGGAGCAGAGGATCTGGGATTTCTGTGAGTTGCCAGTGTCATAGGGGAATGATCCAAAGGAACTTGGGGACTGGGGAGCACCTATTGTTCATCTGCAAGGGGAAGTTAGGGCTGGCATAGTCCAGAGGAGAGGGCTTGAGTGGCTGAAAGGCTGATGGTGTTAGGGAGATGACGCCCAGCCAGGCAGTGGCAGGACTTCCTCATGCTGGAGGTAGGGGATAACAAGGTGACTCTCAGTCTTGAGTACACTAAGAACCGTCACACCCTCTATCTAACAGGCTAAGATATGGGTGATGTCTTTCACTAGGTATACTGGAAATAAGAAATATTTTGACAGGTTAGTCACGTAGCAGATGTAATTTTATGTACATTTTTATGTTGTGTACAATTTTAAATGAAAATAACTTTAAAAAAAATCTTGCAGTCTTATGATCTAGTCTTCCTTGTACTCCTAAATCTCCCGGTCACACAAAATCAGAATTTGGCATTCCCTAGGAGTACTAATTGAGTCTATAGCTTGTGATAGACTTTCGCTGTTGCAAAAAAAACCAAATGATTGTTAATGTGATTTTTTTTTTTTAATGCATAAAGTCATCATAACATTTAGACTGTTTGGTGTCACTTTACTGTAAAATAGGAGTCAGTACATCAAGGGCAATGGAGTGATTCCTGCATTAGTGAAAGGAAACTCAGGCCCTCTCTGTCCTGATTGCATGTTTGCAGCATGAGTTCACTTCATGAACCACAACAGCCTTTAGTCTATGATACCCAAAATCTACACCTCAAAATATTGTTCTTTCTCTTTTTCACCATAAAATAGAGTGCCTGTGGTATTCAAAGCAAAAATATAAAACATTTTCTCATCTTAGCTATTCCAAAAACACGTATGCTTGCAAAAATCTGATCAGGCCAGTGACAGGGTAAAATGGTTTGCTTAGCGGCAGGGCTTAGTGGGCATGTATATTTAACTGCAAGACTTAGTTGGCATAAAAAGCAGTCTTGCCATGGGTCCAATTCTGTACTCAGTTATAATTGGACAGCTGCACTGATTTCATTGAGGATTGCTGGACAAAAGTGCAAGTAGATTTTGGTCTGACATCTCTCCAAAGCACAGTGTAAGTAGCTCTGTCTATTTCTCCAGAGTCTGATTGCTAGCAATCAAATCCAGTTTGCATAGGTGCTTCTGATTTGACTCATTCTTCAATTCCCAGCTTATGGGCCTGATACAACAAGCACTCTGTTTGCCAAACTCCCGTAGAAATCAGTGGAATTGCCCTTACTTACACGTGTGGTGAATTTGGAATTTTTTATATGTTGATTCTTTCTTTTATCATTGAGATTCTAACTTATTTAACAAAATACTGTTTGAAAAGAATCAATTGACTTATGTTCACCTGAGAAAAGGTTCACAGTTAAGATTTTGGCCCCGTTATGTATATTTTTAATTTAAACAGTATTTTTCCATTTCAGTGTTCTTTTTTTATTTTTATTTCCCCTATATTGGCCAGGTGACTCCAGAAATGAGGAATCTAAATTATCTGTGTATCACCTGTGACAACCTGGCACAGGCTCCAAGTCAGCAAGGCATGTGACTAAGTTTATGAGTAGCCCTGTGGACTTGAATTAGACTTCTCACACATTTAAAGTTAGCCCCATACTTAAGTACCTTCCTGAACTAGGCAATACAGCTTACGGCCAGATTCTGGGAGGTTTTGAATGTGCTCATTTGCCACTGACATCAGTCTCAGGATTGGCCCTAATATGGCTATGAGCAAAAACTTGAGAAAACCAAATGTTCGTCAAAATACAAAACAACTCCAAACCAAAACTAAAACAAAATGAGCAAATGGAATAAGACAAAAATAAAACAGGACCAAAACAATGAACCAAATCCTAAATTAAATGCAGGGACCATGCACATAGGCCCAGTACACAAGCTCATCCACTGATATCCAGAGCTGCCTTAAAAGGATGTCAGGTATCAGAGGGATAGCCGTGTTAGTCTGGATCTGTAAAAAGCAACTAGGACTCTCTGTTGCTTTTTAAAAGGATGTGTTTCCGAGTGCTACTAGACTCCTAACTTCAGAACTGCCTGCCTGCCACAAAATGTGCCTTCAGAGAGCATTTTTATTAGGTGGAGATGACCTCTGAACCCAAAATGAGACAAGTATCAAAAACTAGATTTCTTTAGTTGAAATAGAAACATAAACTTCCAGAGTTGCCTGGAACAGCCCCATCTACCCTTTTAGGTAACTTTTAAAATACTTTTTTAATGATATTTTATAATAGTGCAGTTTTAACACTGAAAAATTAAGCCATCAGTCGGAATCTCTGCATTAAAGTTGAAAGCTCAGCCTTAACTCTAGCCCCTCCTCTTGTGCCTTATAAAGTATGGTCCAATCCTGGGAGATGTTGAGAGACTCTGCAGCCAATGGGAGATGGAGGTGCTCAGGGTCAAGATTGTACATTGTTTGAGGCAAGGCCTATGTCTTCTGATTGATACAACAAGGCACCTACCATGCTTTTGGAGGCTGTAAAAGACTAATACAATCTATAATACATCCTGGAAGAGGTCTTTTTTTTTTTTTTTTAATGTAAAAATGTCTGCACTGATTTTAATAAAAACTTTATACACACACAGCCGCAAAATACCTCTGAGCTTCAACAAAGCCTGCTGAATTTCAGCCTAAAATAAATTAATTTAAGAAAATAATTATTAATTGAAAAGGAGTGGTTAGAATGGAAGTTGGAATTCCACCTGCACCATAGTGTGTGTTACGTATGCCAGCTATGTGCTGGCTAATGCTGGACTAGCATTTAACAATAGCAATCTGTATTCACGTAGCTGTGCTTCAGAAAGGGCAGAGATTCTAAAAAGGAAGTTGCACCCATTCTATTCGGTAGCTAAGCATAGAGGGTGGGATCCATGAAGGGACTTAGGCGTTACAACACAGCACCTAACTTCTGGCACCTAGAATATCCCTGCCATCCACCAAGCCAAGTGAAGTGCCTAGGCTTCCTCTACAACAACTGGGTAATTAAAATGAATAGATTGGGGAGGCAAAAATCTGTCTAAACCGGATGAAAATATAATAATAAAAACAAGTGTTCTCTGTTCTCTCAGCCTTTCATGAGCAATTTAAACAGATTAACATAAAGTAAAGATCAAGCGTGGCGTCTGGCTTTGTAGTTAGTTGTTTTAATAATTGTTTTTTAATTGCCTGGCAGTATGGATCATTGTGTTTGGTTTCTATGACACAGACCACATCTTCAACAGTGGTCCGTGTATTGGGACAACATTTGTTTGTGTTTGGTGTCCACTCAGATGAATGGTGAATGCGAAGCAAATGCTGTTTGTGCTCAACTTGCAAATTTTTCCATGGGCCGAACAGTGGGTTCAAAGATAAAGATTTGGGGCTTGATTTCCCCATTGCTAAATGTCCCTTTGGCAGTGGTGTAACTCCATTCATCTAATTTCAGTAGAGTTATGCCAACTTTAAAACTGGAGTAATGCATTGGTGACTCAAGGCCATGAGACCCTTCTGAAAATTCAGCTAATGAGCATAAATTCACGTGCCAAAGAAGCCCATATGCAGTTGCTGAAATTAACTAAGAAATAGTGGTAACTCTTCATATTTTCTGTCTGTTTAATGTCAGAGAGATAATGTCCCATTGTGCACCTTTGTTCATAATCCTGCTTTAGGAGAGAAGTCTGTAATCCCTTATTATACAGTAAATCACCTGATACCATTCCAAATTTGCAAACTCTAAATTTAAAATTTGAGTGAAGTTTGAGAGCAGTGTAAAATAATCTGCTGGAGTCTTTAACACTTTATTTGAAGTTTGTGGAGAACATTAATGTTGTAAAAACAATATTTTACATGCAGCGCCAGGGGCTTTTTGACTAACTGCATGTGTTCTTTGGATGCACTTTGTTGTTTAGTTTACAGTTTGACATATAAAAGCTGAGATACATGGTGTTTTATGCTGAAACAATATGTGTATTTATTGCTAATATGTAAAGTCTCATAATTAAGGCTAAGTTTTTTGTCACGGATATTTTTAGTAAAAGTCAGCGACAGGTCACGGGCAAAAAAGAAAAATTCACTGAAGCCGTGACCTGTCCCTGACTTTTACTAAATATATCCCTGACAACATGGGGATCTGCGGGTCCCCACACTACCTGAAGTGGGGCAGCTGCACAGGGACTAGGAGCTGCCCGCAGCGGCTGGGTGCTTGGGGGTTCCCCCACTGCCCGCGAGCTTGGGAGTTCCCCGCTGCCCGTGGTGGCCAGGAGTTTGGGGGTTCCATCAGCAGCTCTGGGGGCCCCCACCACCTGCGGCGGCTGAGAGCTCAGGGGTTCCCCCACCATCGGCAGCTCGGGAGGCCCCCACCACCCATGGCGGCTGGGAGATCTGGGGGTTCCTCTGCGGCGGCCAGGAGCTGTGGGGTACCCTGCCGCCTGTGGTGGCTTGGAGCTCCAGGGGCCGCCAGAGATGGCAGGGGTACCCCGCAGCTCCCTGCCCCCGTGGGCCGTGGGGTACCCTGCAGCTCCCAACCACCGTAGGCTGGAGTCACAGAGGTCGCTGGAAGTCACGGATTCTGTGACCTCCGTGACTAAATCGTAGCCTTACTCATAATTGCGGTTGTGCAGATTTTCAATTAGATAAAATGCACTGGGAAAATGTTAAAGTACCCATATTCAGAACGTATCTTATGACACCATCACACACACATTTTGGAGACTCTCTCACAATTTGTAGAATTACCACTTGAGTTCATTTCTGCAGGGCTCCTGCACTATAGAATTTAGCATCACTTCATGGTGGTAGGGAACTTTTACCTTGAAAAAGTTTAGGTGTCCAGTGAGTTTAGGCACTTACAAGGTTTGCTGGGAATTTTGTGGATTGCAGTGGAGCCCAAACTGTGTCTTAGGTGCCCAAGTACTGTCGTGAATCCCACCCCAAGTTCTCAAGCTACATTTAATGTCTGGCAGTCTGCATTTTTTGTCTGTAACCTTAAACATATTGGTGAAATTACACTTATTCAGCACCTCTGAGGAACACTTGCTGACTTTATTGGGTGGTGTAGATGATTGGTACCTTTCAGGATCTGTCCTGCTTTGTGTCATGGAGAAAACCACACAAGGAAAATCATCAGATCTAAAGCTCCTTAGGGGAACATCAGAGTATGACACACACACAGCTGGGAAATGCAGAGCTAGAGCGCTCCTTTTGACCCCTAGATATAGTGGGCACCTGCCCTTTTTGCTACTTGTTTGTATTGTACTGTGTTTTCTTTATGTGCAAGGGGAGCTTTAACTGTGATTATAATCTTACTTATTTTTTTAAGTCAGTCCCTCTCCCTGGGAATGGCTGTGTCCTTCTGGGCCATGTCTCTTAGGGAGGCTGGAAAGTTTTGCTTTCACACTCCCCATTTTAACGTTGCCATCCTCCAGGCCTTTTAACTCAGCCATCCTTCTGACAGGATACGCATGGACGGATACTTTTTGGAGGCCCATCATTGCTGTTACATGGTCAGCTAGGTGGGTCATTATTGGGCAACACAAGGCAATTCCTCCCTCAGTGGCAAAGTTCTTTCCCCCTGTATCACTTGTACCCCCCTCAAACCCGAGGAGTGAGAGCCAGGTGTGGAACTCCCATACTGCATTGCAGAGTTAAGGCCCTGAACATTCTTGTGTGTGTACATTATTGTTTCTCTTTCTGCTGCTGCTCTACACAGCACTTCTCTCTTTATTATAAGTCAGCAATGATTCTCAGTAGAAACTTTTGATCATGTGTGGTTTAGGCCCGCTGACTTCTTACATGCAGGACTCCTGTTGATGACATCAGGATTTTATCCTGCAGGAATAGATTTTCAAATGGACTGTTTTTGTTTTTACAGCAACCTGGGGTGGTTAATGCAAAGTAGGCACCAAATGCCCCTGATAATTACACACACGAATGTGGGGAAGGGAGCCTTGTAAATTGTGTTTGACAACCTGAGTCATCCACTCCTTTCTGAGTCACTGTGAATCAGTGGTGCCACAGAAGTCATGTTCCATCTCAGTGAATAATAGTGCGAGGCGCTGGCCTCATGTCTTCCTCATCACAGTGCTAATTATAACATCCAAAAGGACATAAATAGCCTAGTAATGTTCAGTGTCCCACTACAGTGTTTTTCACAGGGACCTGTCATACAGGAAATGCTCAATAGTAAGGGGCCTTGTACTTCAGTTATTCCTGCAATAATTTTGATTTGACAGCTCAGAAAAATCAGCACAGTGGGAATATATTGGACTCACTACAGGTCTGTCGCGTCTTACGCTGGGGTTAGGTTCCGCAGTCAGCGCTTAAAGCGAAAATCACGTATAGTCAAAATTACATTGAGTGTAATGGCGGGCGGAATCGCCCTCACTACAGGTACAGTATTAAAATTGTTATTTTTCTCTTTTTTTTGTTTTGTTTTTGTTTTTGCCGACCGCGTAAAGCTGAAATCACGCATGTTAAATGCGCGTAAGATGCGACAGACCTGTACGTGGAAGATCTGGATTCATTAATTGAAAAGGAAATGTACTGTATCTGTGGCATAGATCCTGTGTAGTGTAATGCATTTCAATAATATCGTCCTATGGTTAAGGTACAAGACAGGCAGCCAGGTGTTTTGGATACTAATCCTGCCTTTGCTCCTGATTTTCTCTGTGGCCTTGGACAAGTTACTTAATCTCTCTGTGCCACAGCGTATCCCTACATGAAATTAATGTCTGTAAAGCATGGTGAGATGAAAAGACGCCATATAAGTGCAAAATATTAACAGTAATAATCCATGTGCCTTTTTTAAAGACCGTGCGTGTGCATAATCATGTGCGCTATGGGATCCTAAGTGTGTGTTTTCCCCGTTTTTGAAGATTGTGTTACACTGTCAATATGTGACAATTATTTAGCACCTACATCTGCAACTCTTGCTCATATGAGTAGTTCCACTGAAGTCAATGGGATTACACAAAGGAGGAAATGCTACTCAACATGAGTAAGGCTAATTGGGCTTTTAAACATCAAGGGAATCTGAGTGCAAGAGGTTTTTTTGTTTTGTTTTCTCAGATCTTTGCTCTGAGCTCGGCCAAATCCTTCTTTGACCAGAAGAGGTCGCTAGTAGTACATGTAAAGCACTTTTACTACCTTCTGAGAGGCTGCTCTTTGTACTGCTTTCCAGGGCTATAAACCAGTGCACTGCTAAACAGTAGCTAACTTGCTCAGAAATAGATGAGGGTAGATCTACTTGTCCTTCTGTGCTGAGCCATAAGCTGAAGGGTACATTCACTAGAACACATGGCAAAGCAAAATGGTACAATGTATATTATTTTATATTTTGATGCTTCCTGTGTTTGAAGACTTCTGTGTATCTAATACAATGTAACTCAAAACAGAGAAGTGCTCTTTTGGCATTGACTTAAAATAGCAAAGCTAGGACTTCAGATCATTGTAAGTTTAATCACAGTTGTGTTTGTGAGTAGGGCTCAGCTTATAACTGCTGGCAATTACGCTCTTCACGAGTCTTCACAGAGAAACCAACGCGCAGACGTTGGCCTGTTATAGGCAGTCTGGCTTGCTGGGAATATCAGTGTAGGCAGGGAACTGTACAGCGTGGAAAACCCCTGGTCAGAAGGGGGAGAGAGATGGCTGCCCAAAAGATGTGCTGGCTGAGGAGCCTAGAATGCACCCTCAAGGGACCGCGGAGCAAGAATACAGGGGCAATTGCCCTGAACTGTGAAAGTGTCTTCTCTAATAGAATTCCTTTTTGATTTCTTCTTAAGGAATGGGGATCTTCAGCTTTGCCAGGTATGACAGTGACTTTTATAGTGCGAGCTACAAAGGCAGACTGAAGAGAGTCAAGAAGCTTCCCTCAGCAGACTATTCAGTTTTTGATGGCTATTATACTCCTGTAACCAGCAGTGTGCTGCTTCTGAGGTCCTGCAAGGTGGGTGCCTGTTGGGCTCTAGAGAGTTATTGAAAGCCTTAAATTTCTATTTGGAAATAAAAATAGCTTTTGTTTCTAAGGGTTTAATTCTCTTGCTGGTGTAAATCAGGAGCAACTCCAGTGAAGTCAATGGAGTTACACCAGTGTAAATGACAGCAGAATCGGTCTCTTCATCCTCCAGCCCGGCAGTTGAGATGGAGTGGGATGTTCAAGCTGATATTCCTTACACTTGTGTATATTACTCCTGCACCGAAAAAATAAAAATTCTGCATACAATATCGTAAAATCCTGCAAATTTTATTTGTCAAAATAACACTACATAATCACACCAGTTTCAATTATTTTGGTAATTTATTTACCTGTCATTCTGTAGCAGGAGGATCATCCGATTTAGATCAGTTTTGTAGGTGGATTAACAGTCATTAAATAACAAAATGCAACCTCATTCTCCATGCAACAAGACAAAACAACCTTAACATTGCTCATGGTGATGGGAGTGACGTGTTACTAATTGTTAATACTGTAATATCATTCCAATGTTGCGCTGGATTTTACTTAACATAATATTTTAACAGAGAAAAACCAATTGCCTAACTGCACATTAGATAATATTATGGTTTCTTCAGACTAAGTAGGATTTTGAATAGTTCAGCAGTAGATCATTTAAGCCTTGACAAGATACCCTGACAGCTTGCATGTGAGAAATGGAGGCACCATTTGGGCATATTAGTGAAAAATATTGATCTTTCAAAACATGCTTGTATATTTGGTGGCTAATTCTGAAAATCACAACTTAAATGGATGGGGATGAGGGTGAGGCACAGGTGCTTTTCTATAATGAAACAAAAAATAGATGAATTCATATGGGAACTTAATAAATCATCCTTCCCAAATGTCTATAACAATACAGAGACACAAAAAATTTCCCCCAGGAGTAGAGAGTTAAAGAAACCCCTATGACAATCCTGTTTCTCTGCCCCCTCTCCCACAGAGCCCTGCTGGGAGCCGGAGACCTACAACCTCTCCCCCCCAGACCCTAGCACCCCCCCCCCCCCCCCCCCACACCCCCTGAACCCCCTCCCCCCCCGAGCCCAGCCGCAGGGTACCCCCAGAGCCCAGACACCTGCACCCCTCTGCCCCCAGAGCCCAGCCATGGCCCCTGCAGCCCCAGACACCTGCTCCCCTACCCCTCAGAGCCCAGAGATCCTGAGGGAGAAACAGCCTGATGCTTGGTCTCAGGCTTGTGTGGTGTTTTCTGAACGCTGCCATCTCCTTCCCTGAGAGTGTGCTGAGAAGTGCTGCTGCCGGGAAACCTCTAACTCCCTCCCCCTGGTAGTGTCTTCTATGTGTGAACTGGGCTCTGCTGGGTCCTGTGCCCCCTAGTGGCGTCCAGCAGCACTGCAGCCCGTTTCTGTGGGGGAAAGGAAATTCTGTGGGCACAACATTAATTTCTGCAAAATTTTGCATTACCCAGTGGCGCAGAATTCCCCCAAGAGTAGTATATGGGAGCAGGGTGTTCTCAGTAGAGGATACTTGGAAAGGGTGGATTAAAGCCAGATCTGTGAATCTGAACCCTGGGTTGAGAAGAGGCCCAAGAAGTGACAAAGTTTGGATCCAAGGATACAGTTCATCTCAAGAGAGTGTTGGTGTTTGCTGTGAGGACTGGGGAGCAGGGGTTAGCACTGGTGGGGCAGAGAACCAGGAGTGGCATGAGCATTTTTGCAAGGGGGAGGGGCTTTGGTTTGCTAAGAGCCCTTTGGTTGGATTGGATCCAAGCTCCATTAATCTGGATCCACTGCCAATCTGCTTCACTTTGGTTGGATGGAGCCTGTTTAGTAACCTCCAGGCCTATGTGTTTAATCACCCTCTTCCTGAAGAGATGGTGTCTGTGGGACACCTGAGGGCTTGAGATTTTTTGTAGCAGCAGGAAGGTCTTTGTTGTTGTTGTTAGTGGTTCCTGTTGTCAGTAGATGGATGTTGTTTGATAGCCTGTGTCCGGGAACCTAGAGGGAATGATAGGTGCATTTTTCTAAATTGGAGAAATCACTTCACCTATTCAATATGTTTTAATTTCCAAATCAAGGAAGACCATGCTTCCCTGTGCTCAATATTGACTGAACTAAATAAAACATAGTAAATCCTTAATTTGAATGTCAGTAAACTCAACCTCTGCGGGTCAGTCAGGGGCTGCGAGTCTTAGCTTGCTATTGTTTGTGAGGCACTTTGAGCTCCCTGGATGTTAGCACTATGCAGAAGTGTGAAGAATTATCCTTATAAACAAACATCAGGTTTTTTTAAATCCCTTGAGCATATTCTGGGGAGCGGGATATCACAATAGTGTCTAGAGGCCCCAGCTGAAATTAGGGCTTCACTGTACTAGGTGCTGTATAAACAGATAGGAAGAGACAGTCCCTACCTCAGGGAGCTTAGAGCCCAAATCCACAATACAGAACAAGGATGGAAGAAAGTAAGTATTACTATCCCCATTTTGCAGCTGGGGAACTGAAGCACAGAGCAATTGTGACTCACCCAGTTCACAGAGGAAGTTTGTGGCAGGACTGGGAATTGAACATTCACTTCCTTTCCTTAACTACAAGGCCATCCGCTTCATTTTTCTGTAACTAAAATTGGTACCAGCCCCATGCCAGGTCTGTTGCCCTGTCTTGGAGTGGGTTGGAAGTGGAACCGTTTTATCATCAGCCCATTTTGTAAGGTGCTGTAATGGGTACTGCCAGTGTAGGGAGAGTGGAAGAAAGAGAGGAACACATAGCTTACAATAATTTGCAAAATAAGACCTGTGTTTCAGACCTTGACCCATGAGATTGGGCACATCTTTGGACTCCATCACTGTCAGTGGCTGCAGTGTGTGATGCAGGGTTCCAATCACCTGGAGGAATCAGACCGACGCCCACTGGATCTGTGTCCAATTTGTCTGCGCAAGTTGCAGTCTGCCATTGGCTTTCACATTGTGGAGAGATACCAGGTACAAAGATATTGCTTACTAATGGAAGATTTGCCACTGAGGAACAGACCACTTCCTCCTGCGAGTCTAGCACCCTGACAATAGTTGATGCTTCAGAGAAAATGAAAATCTTTCTGCGTCATGATGCACCTGACTATTTGTGCAACACTGTATATGGGGGGATTCCTTACAGATCCCTGGGCTGTTTGCCTAGGCCAAAGAGCATGAAATTTGATTAGCCAGTAATTAGCATGCATTATCCAATCCCAGGTTTTAACCTTTTGACCCCTTGCAGGAGTGAATCCCACAACTGCACACAGAGGGAAGAAACATTTTTCTTGTGTTTGTTTCTGCCACTTTGTTTGAAACATTGCTATGGAAACTGTAGTTTGTGTCTGCTTTTTTCTTGGTGCCTTTTTGGTCCCCTACTGCAGTACTTACAAGACTAAAAAATCAGGAGCACAGACATTCATGGCCTCCGGAGGAAACTGTGGTTTGAGACATGCAAAGAAAGCTAATTGTTTATGCAGAATACTGGCCCCGTGGTTTATTGGAAACTAAGTGTTTACTTGTTCTACTAAGTAGTGAGCTGGAGAAGCAGCTACTTACAATGACAATTCTGTGTATTTAAGATTGAAGGCAGAATAGCTGCATACACAGTTGGCCTGTTGAAAAGATCCTAATCAATATAAATTGGTTTGTTGTTACCAATAGAATATAATGGAGAGAAGGAGCAAACAGTTTTGGAGTTGCTCAGTATTTTAATTTGGTCCAGTGTTCATCTGAAACATGAATGGCCATTCAGCTTGTGTATCTTTTCTAGGCGTTACTTGGGTGGATGGATGACGATCGTAGTGGAATGGATGCTGAACTCAGAAATGAAGCCAAGATGGGCTTGCTGAAACCTGTGGAAGCATTTAAGGAGTGTCGAGAGTGGGTATTAAAATGTCTTGATGTCTTGCAGAAATAAAGCTGTAGGATGTATGTAGTATCAAAAGGGAAACATTCTCCTCTATTTAAAGAATTACTTTCAGGTTGACTACTTCTAAAACTGTTGTTACTTGATATGGATCATCCACTGCATTGTAAGGATCTGTAAATAAAAATCCATCCCTTTGTCGCTGAACATTTTACCTTTATACCCTCCTTCCTCAGACAGTAACTATTTCTGCCATGACCTTACAATATTTGGTCTCTGCTGCTCTCATATCAGAAATCAAGGTACATTTTAATCTTAATTGCAGTAATATACAGAAGAACATTTAACATCTTGTAAACAGGGCCTAACGTGTAGTTTTTAAAATATATATTCTAAATGTTTGCGGAGGATTGTGGTGTTTATTTTATTTAGTTTTTTTTCTAGCATTGGAAAATTAGGAGCATTGGACAATGAGGAGTCACTGAAGCTGCAAATACGGAGTGGTTGTGCTAGTTGTCCAGGCACTGTCACTAAATCAGGGAGAGGATTTCATCCCCAGTACCTGCACGTATTCCCTACGCAAAGGCCCCTAACCTGCAGTTGTCTCCGTGTGGGTCTGTTTGTGGAGAGTCATTTGCAGGATCAGGACCAAAGTGAGTTTTTACTTGGTCTTCTCCTAGAGAATCAGGAAATGGTGCCTGGGTACTTTAAATTAGGAAGAGAATGAAAAGAACCTAGTTAAAAGAGACAAAGCAGTACAGATTTAATTGATGTGTTGTGTGTGATGGGTTTAATTTCCCGTGGCAGGTTATTGTTTTAATTACGGTTACCAAGACCCAATTATGCTTTCAATTTTCTTTATATAATCCTGTTAGGACACTTCCTTAGTCTGTTGCTGCTAAATTGCTTTCTTCCCATCATCACCCCAAAGCAAGGCTGGTGGGCCAGATTTCACACTGTGTACAATTTTCTGGATTATTTTTGCACTCTATTTCACAAAGGTACATTTGTGCTCCCTTCCCAATCCCTATGCATTGTGAGTAATTAGCTTTCTATTTAAATTTATAAATAAACCAATGTTATTCCAATGGAAAAAATATATTCCAAAGGAACATTTTATGATTTTAAATTTAAATCAGTTCACAATGTGTTCTAATATTTATTGCTATTATTATTTCCATCATGCTGTGCTTGTGGAAATGACACATGACAGTCTAATAAAAGGACACAATCCGTACCCCATAGAGCTTCCATTCTGAGTCTGTGGTCCTGTAATCTGATCAATGTGGGAAGACTATACTGCTCAGGAAGAGGGGTTCATCTGTGCAGATCAGATTGCAGGATTGGGGCCTAATCCTGCAAGCACTTCAGCACAGGAGTAATTTGGTTACATGAGTACTCCCATTGTCGTCAATCTGATTTCTTGGGTGAATAAAGTTTACTCACATGCTTAAGTGTTTGCAGAACAAGGTCCAGGTCTCTCCAGGCCACTTGGCACCTCAGTTGTTAAAAGCAGGTAAGCCTTTATTTGTGTTATCAGTGGATTTTTGTTTCCACCAATTTTGAAATAATCAGTCCACATAGGATGTTCATTACATCTCTGCTTTCGTTGTATTTTTAAAGTTTGGCATATATTTGATGACAATCACTAGGGATAAAACTATGGAAAAGACCAAAAGACTTCAGTGGGGCCAAGATTTCACCCTAAATCTTAAATGGATAAATATTTCTTTTTAAAATGACAATATTTTAAAAAAATAAATGTTAATTTGTTTGTATTTAAATACTATGATAATTCACAGGCACCAGAATTTCTCCCTTTACATAAAAATAAAGTGTATTTCCAGACTCCATTTTCAATGAGTTTTAGTTTGAAATATTTAAAGGAGGTGTAAAGGTACCTTATTCCACTAACACAGGGAGTGCCACAGAATGCAGAAAACATAGCTGAGAAATGGTGAGCGAAAGCAGAAAAATGACTTGTGCCCCAGTTGACTCTTTCTATGCAGGCACAATTTATTTAACTCCATTTTATTTTTGGAAATAAGGAGAAAAAGTGTGTGTGTGCGCGCGCGCGCGGGGGTGGGGTGGGGTGGGTGACCAGACAGCAAATGTGAAAAATCGGGACGGGGGTGGGGGGTAATAGGAGCCTATATAAGAAAAAGACCCCAAAATTGGGATTGTCCCTATAAAATAGGGACATCTGGTCACCCTATGTGTGTGAGAGACTGAGTGAAGGGAAATCTTGCAAGGATTAAGTGGTTTATGCATAGGGAAGGTAACCATGGATGGCAAATTCACTAGAACCTCTATTGCCATGTGTATTCTCCTCAGCCAGGATTTTCAGGCTGAGAGGGTTTGAACGTTGGGGAAGAAGTTTGATTTTAAATGTCTCATTGAAAGAGAGCAAAATGCTTCCTCACAAAAGGTTGTATGCGGGGCAGTTGTAAGCCCTGTTGGTCCCAGGATATTAGAGAGACAAGGTGGGTGAGGTAATATCACAGAAGTTGGTCCAGTAAAAGATATTTCCTCACCCACCTTGTCCCCTCACAAAAAGAACATGCTTTAAAACAACAACACTAATCACTTTGCTTTCAAATGACTCTCCAGATGAGTGAGACTTTGTAGGTCTGCTGGAGGTGCAGGGCTAAAGATTTCTCCAAAACCCAGTAGCAGAAGAGCAGTTTCTGGTTCTGTCTGCGTGGGTCATAGGAAGCAGGAAAAAATATCGCTCCCTTTTAGGGTGACCAGACAGAAAATGTGAAAAATCGGGACAGGGGATAGGGGGGTAATAGAAGCCTATATAAGAAAAGGACCCAAAAATCGGGACATCTGGTCACCCTACTCCCTTTTGTTGTGTCTGCCCTTAGCCACCTGAGTGCTGCTGGCAAACAGCTGCACGTGCAGACGAATTGCTCTGGAGTGGGCTGGAAAGCAATCTGCTCCACCCACGGGTATAGCAGTCAGACTGTGGTGGGAGGGGCAGGGCCTCTCGCTCACCCGCTCACACACGTGTCACGGGCTGTACAGCGGGGAAGATTAAACATGGCAGGCAAGTAGCAGCAGGCTGCTCTCTGTACACCAGTGAGTGCACCAATCTTTATTTTGGCTGTGTGGGGTGTTTGATTTGACCCTGTCTTTTCCTGGTGGTGGTGTGCCAGCCTCTTTAAACCTGTTTGCATTCTAGAACTTATTGGCATGAACTGCGAACCTTGTTTTGTATCTGGGAGGGGGCATAATGTGGCCTAGGAGCAGATGCGGCCTGTGTATCTTTGTACAGTAATGTGTTTGCAGCTGCCGGATCTCTGAAGGTGCAGAGGAGGGCAGAGCGGAAGCTGTGGTTATAGTTGATAAACTCACTGTGTGGGGGGGGGGGGGGGGGGGGGTGTGGTGGGAAGGGGGGGGGGGGGGTAGGGGGAGTTTCTTAAGCATATCTCATGGTTGATGGATATTTATTTGTGATGATATACACCTCTACCTCGATATAACGCTGTCCTCGGGAGCCAAAAAATCTTACCGCGTTATAGGTGAAACCGCATTATATCAAACTTGCTTTGATCCACCGGAGTGTGCAGCCCCGCCCCCCCCGGAGCACTGCTTTACCGCGTGATATCCAAATTCGTATTATATCGAGGTAGAGGTGTATGTATAACTGAGGTGGACTCCAGATCTTGCCTTGTAAGACATGGCTGCGCTAGTGTGGGGAGGGGGTGCAGAGAGTGGCTTCTCTCCCATTCCCACACACCCGTTGAGCAGCAGGGCAGGAAACCCACTCAGGATGTAGGCACAGCTACTGCACCATCCTGGACACCGCTATCTTACAGAGGTGTAATCTGCTGCTTTGGTGAGTGTTGGCAGGTGCCCAGCTCCTTGTACCTATGCTGCAATGTGCAGCAAAAGCTGCATATTGCTTCTTCTCAGAGAAGCAGTAAGGTGTGCCCCACTCTACATTCACCCTGGCACTTCATGAGCCAGCCTGCCCTGCACTGCTAAGATGACAGAGGAGGCCCCTTATGTGAGGCCAGCATTGTCATACCCCTGAGCATGGCTCAAGATAGAGAGGGCAGGATTTGGCTTTAGGCCTTGTCCACACAGGGGACTTATTCTGGAATAAGGTAGGGTGTGAATTCAAAGCACAGTCTGGAATAGATATCCACTACTCCAGTCGATTTCCTGTTGTAGACAAACCCTTATATGTCTGGCCAGTTGCCAGTGCAGCGCATGGTGTCTTAAAGGATATATAGGAAAAAAAATCCAGCAACAGAAACCTACTGGGGAAGGATTTCTGTGATTTGGACCAAATGCTGCAATCTTTATCCAGGCAAAATCTTAATTGATTAGTGGGATTGACTTCTCCTGAGTGAGGACGTCAGGGTCAGGTCTTGTGATGGTTTGCAGGATTTACCTTATTATTACTTTGCATCTTACCAGTATGTTCATTCATCTCTCTGGGTGCACATTATTCACTAAGGTTGAACACCTTGTTAAACTGTCCTTCTTTATAATGTGTAAATGAGGCTTGAAACAACTCCTCCTCTCTGGTCTCTTAGTTCCAGTCTTGTCTACTCTGGTCAGTTGGATGACAGGTTCATTATGACATCAGATACCAAGAAAGCGACATCTAATGGGGAATTGTTAATTTTTTATTTTTGTGGGGTTCGGACATGACATTACTAGTATTTTGATGGGGAAAAAATGTAAAACCTCATCTTTCAGGCCTTTATATATCATACAGGATACAAACACTTTTTTTCCCCCTTCTGCAAGTTACCTTATGTAACGTCCTTTATCTGTAGATATATGGCTGACATTGGACCCAATGAACCAGACAACTGCAAGAGAGGTTATTTTATGGTCCTGGTTGAAAGAAACAAATTGTATAAATGAACTAACTTAACTTGCAGATACAGTGTCCGAGTCTCTGTCTTGCACCTTTAGTCATTTGGGCCAGTGCAAAGTGGATGTAAAATGTTACCAAATAAGAATGGTTGTGTTTTTACCCCCCTGTGCTCTGGTTTAAATGACTACATACAGGACAATAGAGAATCTGCCCCATGTGATCAAATGGAATTACTTTAAATTGAGGTGTGTGTGTGTGGGGGGGGAAGTTAACTCAGAAAAAAAAAATGTTATGCAGGGAGGGATAGCTCAGTGGTTTGAGCATTGGCCTGCTAAACCTAGGGTTGTGAGTTCAATCCTTGAGGGGGCCATTTAGGGATCTGGGGCAAAAATCTTTCAGGTATGTTATTTAGTTGGGGTTGGTCCTGCTTTGAGCAGGAGGTTGGACTAGATGACCGCCTGAGGTCTCTTCCAACCCTGATATTCTAGGATTCTATAGTGGAAGTCACCAGATGGCAGTTACCATTTAACAAGTTCTTTTTCTTAGCAAATGTGCAATCTCTGTTATAGTTTTGTGATGCACGTTCTTTTTGGGGAATCTGTTGCAAATAACTGTTTAGATTAAGGTAGACAGTAAACATGCTAATTCTTGTGGCAGAGTTGCTTCCTGAAAACTCGTCATTGGTGTTGAAACTGGGATTTTTGAAAGCGAGGTTTGCCTGCATGCTGTTTGTGATCACCCTTTGTTCCAGGACTGATGTATATAGTATAAAGAAAACAAGTCACACTAAGAAAGTGCCATTGATTTCTCCTCCAGTGAATAATTAGTAATAGTACTTACTGCCCACTTTCATGCTCTGAGCTAGTAATTAAATAGGGAATTGTGAGAGGGAATGGGGAGAATTGGATTAAATTAATATAAGAACCAGAGTTTTTTGCAGAAGAGAAAGTTAATGCCTCAGGAAGTGTTATGGCCCTGTGCAATTTAGTTTTACTTTTGAGGTACCATGCAGTTGCTTTGTAATATAACACACCTTCTTCTCTATTCACTGAGACAGTATAATAATTACATGACTGCTTAGATATGACGATGATGTTCCTCAAATGTGTATATGTTATCAAAGCACAGTTACCTGTCAGAATGATGCACTGATTATAGCCCAGAGTACAGTGGTACAAATTTTACAAGAGCACCAGTTCTCATTTCAGGTCAGTGTTAATCCACCTTCTTACACGCAACCAATATAAAAGAATGCACGGTTGCTCAATCCACTGGGTAAACACGGTCCTTCAATCTCAGCAAGCTGCATGTGATAGCAATGTACTCCTGAAAGCCTTTCTAAAGAGGGAAACATAATAATCAAGCCTTTTATTCACAAGGCTGTGTGTTACTTTTTGTGAGGTTACTACAGGACAATGAGAAGCACAGCACTGGAGATCTGGAAATTAAAGGGGCAAAAAAAGTGTTTTGTTTTTCAAAAAACTTTATTGTAAAACTCAGTATTTTATATCACTTCCAGACTTCACTAAATACATTACAGAACAAACCAGCAAATCCTGTTTTGAACGCGTTAAAGCCTGCTTTTGTGGGTCTTTTGTGCGCATATGCATGCGAACATACACGTGCCTGCTCATGCTATGGACATAAACAGAAACTTATTGTGCAGCCATTTATAGACATTATTATTGAATCTGTATTGGAAATCCTTGTAAAAAAAGTGACAGTAGAACCTCGTTAATCTGCAGAACAGGTAGTTTTCTCACACACACAACCTGGCAGCCTCTCCCACTTCTAAACAAGTTTATAATAGCAAAGTGCTGTAGTGAGGTCTCATATTACTAAGACTTCATTAATTTTACAATTATATTCTACAGTACATTTACCAGCATGCCAGAAACATTAGCATAAATTAAAAATAAACATTTACAAAAATAAATACAGTTTTATGATGTGGTATTGTGTTTGTTCACTTACCCGCTAACTCACAAAATCTAGTCATGTACAATGGATCTTCCAGTCATTCATGCAATTTAGCGAGGTTCTGCTGTACATGATAAAGTGCTGAAGGCATATTAAAAAAAAAAAAAGACAAAACTGCAGCATAGTCTCACTAGTTCTCAGACAGTAACAATGGATTGCTATAGCCACGTTGCTGCAGGAATGTGTTTCTTTTTGGACATCTAAGACAGTTTAAACAAAGACACCTTCCTAAAGAGAGGAGTTTTATACAGATTGTCCCACATTTCTATGGCTGATAAAATACAGACATGTTAGCATAGCAGTTAATATACAGTGCCACTTCCACTTAAATACAGAGAAACATGTCAAGATGTATGTGTACTAAGAACCAAACAAACTTTTTACTTGTCCCCCTGAGTTGCCGAGTGGCATAATAATGCATAAAGGAATCTACCAAAATAAGAGTGAGTGAACAGCCAGTTTGTTGTCTTTCAGAATTCCCTTCTTTACAGGTAATAAAACAGGAAACACAATAAGGACCCAATTCTGCTGTCACTGAAGTGAGTGGCAAAAAACTCACTGACTTCAATGGGAACAAGGTAGGGCCCAGTGTGATGATTTTCTTTCCATTGTAGAAGACCAGTTATTTGATGCCTACAGAAGCTGAAGAACACATTGATTGTATTCTAATAATGTAAACGGTTACTGGTAATGGCCTAGTGCCTTTACTATTTAATATTAGCTGTACTGACTTTATTCATGTTAATTCAGTAGTGCCACAAAGATTCCTTTATGTGCAGCTGTGGTAAGTGAAAGTTGCAGGTATGTTTAGGAGCTAATCCTACAGGACCAGATTCCCAGCTAGTGTTATTCAATGGAGCTATATCAGTTTACACCAGCTGAGGCTATGACCTACAGTCTATTAAAAGATGGATAGTATCTCGCATTCAGTCTACCACAGAATTATTTTAAGAGCATAGTTGTCTAAGACCACCATAGTAAAATCAGGCAGCATTCACAACAACTTGTGATTTTTCAAAACAAAACTGAGTTTACATGATAGGCATTGAAAGAATTGATGCAAAGAGGTAAAAAGGTTTTCTGCTGAATCAAGATATTTCTTCTCTCCAATTCAAATTATTTATCTGATAGCCTTTAACAATCCTAGAATAACTTAAAAAATAATAAATACTGGTTTAAATTAAAGACAGTACATTTTGCTAGCAACAGGAAACGATTCTTAGGATGCTAGTTTGTAGAGAAATAACTTTATAGTGAAATATCTGCAGTAATAACTGGCCATAAAAATAAGTGGTAACCTCCAACTTCCCAGCATTTACAAAATTCAAGTTAACTAAAAACCAATTTACCAATAATTCTACTTTAACTAATTAGCCTACCCTACTGCCCCCATGTCTTCTTACAATGATCTGAAACAAGAGTCCATGTTCTTCTGATGGAAAACTCAAGAGTTCAAATTATGTTTATTTATTAAATAATTTCTTCTGCATTATTTATTCTGTTGATTGAATAAGATTTACAGTTTGGGAAGCCTGCCAGGCAATCAAAGATTGTGACCTAATAGATTTAGTTGTAGGGGCCACTTCTGATTTTCTTTCATACAACTTTGTTTTCCACTTAAGAGCAGTAGAACTTCTAGGTGTCATGTATTAGGAAAGCAGAAATATGAACCACATCTCTTCATGCGGGACAGGAGTATTCTTATGTAGCTAGCAATGCATGGCCATCTCTCATATGGAACCTACCATTGCTGGTTTAAAAAAATAAAAGCAATCTTTCCAAAATAATAGTTGTTGATGGCAACTTTTTCACATTAAAATGTTGCATTCCCTTTGAAGTATAGTTTTAGAACATGGAGCAGAGCTGACTTGTTTTCCCCAGATTTAATACAGAGTGTATTGGATTTATAAGGACCAGCTTTTTTATGCTATGCTGTCACAGCTTCTTACGGAATCATCTATTTTTCCAAGATCCATTTCAATAAAGTCATCTGGTATGTCTTGTAAAGCTTCCGATGCATTTTCTTCTAAGCCCTGCTTCTGACCTTGACACAGTACTGTCTTGCATGGCCTTACTAAGGACAGAAACACAGCACCCAGTACCATGCCAGCAGCACAGGAGTAGAATGCTGATCTGTAGTTCTGTGTCATGTCCACTAGCACACCTATGGAGGAAGCATTTTAAATCCATTAAAAATAAAAATCACATCTCACACTCATTTTCCTGACCATCCCATTACCTCAAAACCACCACCCCTCCCAACTTTTCGATATAGTTGCCACTGTATTTGTAAGATATTGCAACTTGAAGATACAGGTACTGGTAATCAGCTAACCAACCATTACGGGTACCTTTTTAAGCCTTAAAATATCAAGGGTCAACTTAATACATATTTAACTGACATCTGCCAATACAGGCCTGACTTATTTTGCAGGGGATCTGGCTAGAAGGCACTGTATAAATGAGTCATTTTCATGGGTATATTTCATTAAAACCTAGAAAGAATGCCAGTTTTAGGATTCTAACTGGAACAGGGTAGCAGTGCTGTATTTTCCTTCCTTGAGGCTCTTCTATAGAGGATGCCTCATCTCCAAGACACTGCAGTCCTGCATTGCAGCAACTTTCTTTCCAGCTCAAGAGGGTTGGATGGGACATTGCTTGGACACTATTTTTCCTAATTCAGTCAGAAAGGTTGTTCTAAAGAGGTATAAGGTATTCTCGCCTTCCCACCCAGACACAGGAGCAGCACTAACCACAGGCCTAACCCATTGCAACATGGTTATTAGGAAGAGGCATCAATAATAAGAGTAGCGGATTGCAGCTATTCAAAAAGGTACATAGTTTAAAGTTACCTGCAAGGGGTGGTCCAGCCAACCCAGCCAAACTCTGAATGAAGACATAGACTCCAGCTGCAGAAGCCATCCTGTCAATACCAGCCACGTCATCTTCGGCTAACATTGGAATGTGTGTGCCCGCTACAGTTCCAAGCATGAACCCAAAAAATATGCTACATATCATCAATCCCCAAAATCCATAGGCAAGAGGGAAGGCAAACAGAGCTATGGAGAGCAGAATGACACATATGAGTTCAATGTAAATCTTGCGGATCGGCTTCTTGTTGAGAACCCAACCGGCACTAATTCTTCCAAAGACTTCAGCAACGGCCATTGCAGACAATATGTATGCAGAACGATCCTTATCGATACCAAGACTGATGCTGAGAGGAATGATGTAGAGTGATGGAGCAAAGAATCCCAGAGTAGCAAATAGACCAAAAAGTGCGTAACAAATAAAGCCGTGGTCTTTCATCACAGAGAAGTCCAGGAGTTGGATTTTTGGTTCTTTCGGGGAGCTGCTAGCTTCATCAAGCATCTGTATGGTTTCCTTTGGTTCTTCACTTTTCAGCTCTGCTTTGGTGTTTCCAGGCACACTGCTGGGTGAGGTAGATACTTCTACTCCTGAGTCAATTGAATCGATTGAGGTGCGTGTTTGCTCATTTTCAAGCATGTACTTAGTCTCTGTGTGCGCTTCTGTTGGTAATACTTTCACTTCTTCCTGTGTTTGGATAATAATAGGTCGCAGCAGTGATCCACAGAGAACAATGCCTAACTGTAGCACCCCAACAATCAGGAGACTGTATCGCCAACCAATCTGCTCCTTCAAAGAGGTGATAGCTGGGGAAATGGGGAGCAGAGAAGAAATTATAAAATAACAGGAAGCCTCCAAAATTTAAAACAAAGCAAACAAACATACACATTAAAAAAATAATCAAAGTTATTGGGTCAAACTCTGCTCCATCTAAAGTCAATAGGGTCCTAGGTGTCTCAAATTAGGCACCTAAAAACTAATGGCCACTCTTGAAAGTACAGCTTACTCGAGATCACTCACTGGCTCCCTATCAGAATTCCAGATTCTCAGTTTTAGGCTCAGTCTATATTGGCTAGTATTTAGAGTCTGACCTGTAGTAACTACGGGCTTTCCCTTCTCTTCTCTGGTAAACAGTCTTTTCAGACATTTCTTAACTGGCGTGGGCTGGCAGCAGGGCCGGCTCCAGGGTTTTTGCCGCCCCAAGTGGCAAAAAGAAAAAAAAAAAAAAAAAAGCTGCGATCGGCACTTCATTCTTCGGCGGCAATTCAGCGGCAGGTCCTTCCCTCCGAGAGGGACTGAGGGACCCGCCGCTGAATTGCTGCCGAAGAGCCGGACGTGCCGCCCCTGGCTGGCAGGCACTTTGACCAGCAGGGAGCAAGTAGGTATTATTTTTAATGAGTGTGCGTGAACTCAGTTTTAAAGTTTCCTTTCCTTTCTGACCCCATCCTGAAGCCAGTTAGTAAGGGGGAAGTTTTTTCTCTATTCAAACTGTGTGCTGGTGCTTACATACAAGTCTTCCATTACAAGGGTTTCTTTAACTGAAAATGAGTATTTTGCATTAACTGAAGGCAGACCACACCAGCAGACTGCATGATCTGATCATTAGAGAAATGGCAGGTTTCTTCTACTGGCATTTTCCAGAATAGCTAAATGACGGGAAGCAAAGATGATGGGGAGTGGGTTTCCAGAAAGTACAGTACTAGGAAAAAACTTCTTCTTATGGAATTCTAGGAAGGCCTCATACAATTCACTCTCCCAAGACCTTGGGGTTGGGTTTCACATGACACATACTCTGAAGGATTAGTGAAGATAGAGATTGAGGGTGACTCCAGTTACAGCCCATGCTATAAAGTAGCCATGGTAACTACCCTGCCTTATTTTTAGCTTGCCAGAGCTGTACAGGGAACCTACCAGATGGGGTATCAGTGTGGTTTACCCTGTTCGGCCAGCAGAGACTGAGACTAAAAAGCCAAGCCTCTCCCCCGACCTTGATTTTTTTTCTTGCCAATAATAACAGAGGGGCAGATTGATCCCCTATGACGTAACACCATGCAGGAGATAGGTTTTCTTCTGCATTCTTAGGCAGAGGAAGGCAGCAGAAGGCTAGGGACAGTTGTCCAGAGACCTTGTGTCTCCTTGTAGCTCTGGGTTCCTGGCACATCTCCACGAACTCCAATTTCAGTGAAAGTTAATAAGACATGTCATTGTCTTGTGACCAGAATAATTAGGATCTAAACTTAACCCTATGCAGGAGACAGGCATTTAAGCTGTTTATCCAAAAATTCCACTGGGACTAATTTTGAAGACCTTACTCAGGCAGTGTCTTCAAAAGGACTTTTATCCTCATAAGGACAGCACTGGCCCAGAAACTACAAGTGTCAATGAAATCAATATAGTTGTGATTAAGGCGTCAGCTTATGTAAGAATCAGGCTCTCATTTGGTCGGTAGGAGGATCACACAACGTATTGCTTACGTACACTTGTGTTTACAATACTTTGGTCTTATATACCTGGCGCAAAAGAGAAGACAGCAAAACATTCTCCTGTGGATGCCACTGCAGTGACCAGTGAACGCCGTTTGTCAAAATACTGTGACAAAATGGTGACAGTCGGGAGGAAAGACAGACAGTATCCCAAGCCTGTGAATAAATGCCAAAAATTGTCATGACAATGAGGTGGTGAAATTGTGGGATCAATTCTGCCAACTAAGTAATTCACCTAGGGAAAAACAGAATGACCTCGCATAGCCAAAACCCACTAGATTCTGCTTCCTACTCCCAAATAACTAGGAATTTCCAAGGATCATTTATTTAGTTACTAGTTTGTCTGTGGTGCTCATCACCCAGGCGTCAGAGCACTTCATGGACAATCGCTTTATCTTTAAAACACCCTGGCCATGTTGGCAAGTATCATTATCCCCAATTTACAGATGGAGAACTGAGCTACATAGAGTCAAGGGCTCAATTCTGGCAAGGTGCTGTGCACCTTCAGCTTCCACTGAAGTCATAGGTATGCCCCCCCCTACCAACTTCATGGCTGTGAAAAATGTGTCATGGACTGTGAAATCTGGTCGTGTGTGCGCTTTTACCCTATACTATAGAGATTTCATGGGGGAGACCCGCATTTCTAAAACTGAGGGTCCTGACCAAAAACTGAGACTCCTGTGGGGGTGGGTGGGGACAGTATTGCCACCCTTACTTCTACGCTGCCTTCAGAGCTGGGCGGCCGGAGAGCGGCAGCTGCTGACCAAGGGCCCAGCTCTGCAGGCAACAGCACAGAAGTAAGGGTGGCAATACCATACCATGCCATCCTTACTTCTGTGCTGCTGCTGGCGGCGGCTCTGCCTTCAGAGCTGGGCTCCCAGCCAGCAGCCGCCGCTCTCCAGCTGCCCAGCTCTGAAGGTAGCGATGCCATCAGCAGCAGCACAGAAGTAAGGGTAGCAGTACCACAACCTCCCCCTACAAGAACCTTGTGACCCCTCCCTCCCCCACAACTCCTTTTTGGGTCAGGACCCCTACAATTACAACACTGTGAAATTTCAGATTTAAATAGCTGAAATCATGAAATTTATGATTTTTAAAATTCTAGGACCATGAAATTGACCAGTTTTGACCGTGAATTTGGTAGGGTCCTAGTCATAGGGAATTGACTGTCGTCAGCACATCTACAGGATCATTTGACAATTTTCAGGATCAAGCCCCAGGTGACCTGGCCTAGGTCACAGAGGAAGTGTGAGGCAGAGGCCAGAAAACAAACCCAGCTCTCCAGAGTCCCAGTTCAGTGCCTTAACCACAAGCTCCTCCTTCCTCTCTGGAAAGGGAAATAATTTCACAAGAGTCTGGAATGGGACTCCTCACAGCAAGGCAAGCGACTTTGGTGTGATAACAATACTCAGAAATCTTCCAGAAGATTTCGTGTGCTCTTTGCAAAGCTAAGTAGTGGCTTTTATACACACAAAAACTGAATTATTTTATATATCAAGTGTACACACGGGCTTTGGAAAATATAGACATTGATGCCTATGGGATCTTAAAATGCAATATGCCCCCTTGACAACCCTCTTCCCCCTCCCCCCAAAAAAAACCCAAAACAAAACCGGGCAAGAGTTCTGTGGGAGAATTTGAAAAGAAATCAGTTTTGAAGTGGTTGACACAGGCAGTCTTTGTGAAAGAAATGGGTTTTAAGGAGAAATATGAAAAGGAGATGGTTTGTTGAATGAGAAATGGGAGATGGTTCCAAGTGTAGGTGGCAGCTTGAAAAACAACCAACAAGAAACAGAGCCGGCAAAAGATGATGAAAGGAACAGCAAGGAAGCAGGATTGGGAGGAGCATAAGGAGTAAGACGAAGAGTCATTAAAAAAAATAAAAAATTAAGCCAGTTTAGAATAAGGGAATCCTAAATTGTGTTTGCGGGAAACTTCACCAGTAGATGGAGTATCTGAGAGATGTGGAAGTAACTCACCAGAAATTAGGCCAATTGTGATATACATCTCGACAACTGTGCGTGCAAAGGAGGCTGTGACCATTCCAATACTGATCAGTATACCTCCGACCATCACCACAAGACCGTGACCAAAACGGTTACTCAGGACTGTAGACAAGGGAGCTGCATTGGGGGGGACAAAAGTGCATAAAGCATGACAGTAATTTGTAAAACTCCTGTCGTCTCGGATCCCTTCTCCCCATTTTCTCCTCCTTTTATCCCTCTAGTCACGCTGGCGCTCTTCTTTGCTCCATGTTGGTCTACTCCCACACCCGTGCTACTCTATCCGCCCTTCCCCAAGCATTTTATACCCAGCGAGAGATCTTGCAGCCTGAAATAAATACTTAGCTGAAATCTTGGCCCCACTGAAGTCAAAACTCCCACTTCAATGGGGCCACGATGTCACCTTTCGTGCTTTTATAGCACTTACCAGCTGTATATGGCAAGTCACTTTACAAAAGTACAAAAGTTTGGTGCTCATCATTATCCATCCTCCCGGAAACGGAGATGCCGAGAAGTTAAATGACTTGTCCAAGCTCACAAAAGCAGAGACATGTTCAGAGCCCAGTTCATCCCAGGCCCTGACTCTGGTGGTTCAGATTGAGAATGCAGAAGTGAGTTGTGGAAGTAGCAGAGACGAAGAAAGGGAACTGATGAGTAGAGTGGGGGATGGGATGTTGAATGACTTACCTGCTCGTTTCCTTGCTCTTTATGGTTTGTGATAGTGGGATATGCAGGTTGTCAACCATAGATAGCTCAGAGGAGGGGGGGAGTATATACACCAAGTGTGATGTGAATGTGTGTAAGTCCCAATATTTATATGGGTGCACCAGTGACATGAACACAGACCCTGAATAATTTTCAGTTCAAACTGAAGATGTACTGTGCACTTACCTGTAAAAGTTAGTACAAACACACATATTGAAATTATCCACGATATCCTGCTGTTGGTTTCATCAAAGCTTTCCATCAAATCCGTAAAGAAGACTCCAAATGATTTTATAATACCGTATGTAAGTGCTTCCACAACAAAGAAAGCAAAAGCAACAGTCCATCCCCATCCTCCATCAGGCACTTTAGTATAAACATTTGGGGTGGTGCACGACATTTTTATAGCTTTGACAGTCATTCTTAATCTGGAATAGAGGGAAAAAATAAGACATCTTTTTAAATTCATTTTTTACAAAGTCTAATAATCGTAACATCACAGAAAAATATTGGGGAGGAGAGTCGCTTTCTCGCTCTGCTGCTGTGAGATTAAACACAGGGGACTCAGGTAGACGTTTCTCTTTTCTAGGATGAGATAGGAGTGGGCCCTTTGAATCAAGAACCAGAAACTCATCACTCAGCATCAGGACAAGCTGTCCCAATCAGCAAAACTAGAGATTAAAAGCAGTCATTGAGTTAAATGCAGATGGGATACAATTCAGGAAAAAATCCACAGGAGAGCTCCAAAGGGCTCATGAAATGACACAGACTTCAGAACAATGCCCCACCAATCACGTTTTTCTAACTTTGCTGACATTGAACAAAAAGTAAAGCAGTAGAGGGAGGATGAGACTTCCATCCTGCACTTCCTCAAGGACCTCTCTGCTGTCTCAGCCCAAAGCTTCAACACAGCTCCACATGGTTTTTGCAGAGCTGGTTAGTTACGTAAATCAGCTAGAGGTTATTTTTTTCCTGTGGCTTTTAAAGCCATGAAATGCTTTCCTGAGCGCACACAGTGGCTGCTAAGATTCAAGGAAAGAGAGTGGAGTGGCTTGTATCATCAAAGACATAAAGACATGGAAAAAAAAACTCTGTTTCCTTCACCTCTCCCAGCTTGGTGGTTTGAGCATTGGCTTGCTAAATCCAGGGTTGTGAGTTCAATCCTCAAGGGGGGCTATTTGGGGTAAAATCAGTACTTGGTCCTGCTAGTGAAGGCAGGCGGCTGGACTTGATGACCTTTCAGGTTCCCTTCCAATTCTATGAGATCAGTACATCTCAATGTATTTGGAGGTGGGTTCAGCCCCTAGTGGTTCTCTGGAGGTGGGTTCAGCCCCTAGTGGTTCTTGGGGCTAGGAAACATGGGTCTACTTCTGAAGCTTTTTCCCTGGTAAGAAGGATTTGTTAGGATCAGTTTGTCTGATGCTGAGGAAGTTAAAGGTGACCTGCAAAACAGAAAGACCGAATTGCTTCAGCATGATGGACTGAACTTACAGCAATAGTAAAGGAGGGCACTGAACACACTATAAAGGAAAACCATGTGTCCCCTTACCACAAGGCTCAATCATGATGACATGCCGGAGATTGCTGATTAGTGCTCAGTGAAACACCCAATCATGCATCCAGTGACTTCACACTCACCACTAATCCCATCTGCAGGCTAGGACTGACATACACATGTCAAATAAGTCCTATTGTTAACAACACTGCATGGTTTTCTGGAGTGTTTTAATACCATACAGGATATTAAGCTAGGCCCAAATCATCCTGGTGTAACTCTGTTGACATCAGTGGAGTTACACCAGGGATAAATGTGGCCCATTAGCTTTTAAAAGTACTGAAATACTATGTCAAAAAACAAATCGACAGAAAAAGACCCCAAAATCCACAGAACACAGGGTTAATCTTAGTCTCCAATAGTGTTTTCTGAAAACTGGCCTTGTAGTGGGTGTGACAGCACCAATATGAGTCATGGAGTCCCTGTTGCCAGCTAACCAGAGTAGGTCAAGACTCCATTTTATTTTGTAAGTCTTCAACATACACAAGTGCAAAGGGTCATTTCTCTTTCTGGGGTTCCCACTAAAAACCAAGGCCCTATGTCAGAACAATCATCCCACTAGCTGAGGAGGGCTACGGCTGGGCAGAGAGGTATGAGAGATGTCATGGTCTACACTAGGGGATGGCCCTGTCACCCACCTGCTGTGTGACCTTGGGCAAGTCACCTTCTCTCTCTATGCCTATTTCCCTTCCCACCCTTTCTCTGTCTTTTCTAGTCAGGGCTTGTCTCTGCTATGGAGGCTACAGCACCGTAGCTAGGCCTCTGTAACCCCATAGCGTAGATGCATGCTTCAGTGACGGAAGCGGGTTTTCCATCATGGTAGGATCTCTACCTAGGTTGATGGAAGCATTCTTCTGTTAACCTAGCTCAGGGGTGGGCAAACTACTGCCCGGGGGCCTCCTCCGGCCTTCCAGACGTTTTAATCTGTCCCTCGAGTTCCCATCGGGAAGCGGTGTCCGGGGCTTGCCCTGCTCTGGTGCTCCAGCTGGGGAGCAGTGTCCGGGGCTTGTCCCACTCTGCGCAGTTCCTGGAAGCAGCGGCATGTCCCCTCTCTGGCTCCTACGTGTAGGGGCAGCCAGGGGGCTCCGCACGCTGCCCCCACCCCAAGCGCCGCCCCCGCAGCTCCCATTGGCCAGGAACCGTGGCCAATGGGAGCTGCAGGGGTGGAATCTGTGGATGGGGCAACTTGCCTGGCTGCGCCTCCGTGTAGGAGCTGGATGGGGGTCATGCCGCTGCTTCTGGGAGTTGCTTGAGGCAAGTGCCGCCCGGAGCCTGCACCCCCGACCCCCTGCCCCATCCCTGATCCCCCTCCTGCCCTCAAACCCCTCGGTCCCAGCCCAGAGCACTCTCTTGCACCCCCAACCCCTCATCCCCAGCCCAGAGCCTGCAGCCCCAGCTGGAGCCCTCACCCCTTCCCGCACCCCAGCCCCCAATTTTGTGAGCATTCACGGCCTGCCATACAATTTCCATACCCAGATGTGGCCCTCAGGCCAAAAAAGTTTGCCCACCCCTGACCTAGCTGCATCTACCGCCGGGGTTAGGAGCGATGAAGCTATGTCAATTTAGGCTTTAAGTATAGACAATGCATTAAATTGTACATTCTCTTTTACTAGGTACCTCTTACTGTATAGTGCTCAGAACAATGGGACCCAAAACACTAGCACTAACCTTGGATCTTGAACTATTCCCGGCTGGTTGCTTTATCCCTGCTCTGCTATTCCCAGCCCCCAAATCTTTATACAATAATGTTTTCCTTCCCCCCCATTTTCTACCTGAGTTGCTTCAAAACATCCAGAAAGCTACCTTGGGCTTTTCCCAAATGAATCTGTTAGGTCTTGTATGCTAATTTCAGCCTAAGTTTAGAATTCAAGGATGAATTTCAAATAGAGATACTGACACACCCTTTAAGTGTAACAGAAATCTGTATGTATGGCATACTCTTTGCTAGACTGTGGGCTTATTCATTAGAAGCCGTTCCATTCGATCATGTCAATACTCATTCAGGACATGCACTTAGGTATATTAAAATGTACTTCAAGATTCCTTATGGAAAGGATAGAAAAAGCTGCTGCAGGGCATTTGATACAGGTCCCTAAACCAATGTACAAGTTCTCGTTTTTTGACGATGCTTAAGAATTTACAGTTTTGCCCCTGGAAACGAGTCCCATAGGGATAACACGGACTCCTGGAAACTGAAGAGTAAACCTGGGCTAGGAGGCATGTTGTCTACACAAATGGTAACTTTTCCTACTTGGCTGAAGAGACTGCAGTAGGGCATGTTTGTGCTGAAAGACTTGGCAACTTAAAGAAAATGACCTGCCTTCTTTGGTTAAGCACAAAGGGTATGTCTACACTACAGGATTAATCCGAATTTAGATAATTCGAATTTGGGAAACAGGTTGTATAAATTCGATTGTGCGCGGCCACACTAAGCACCTTAATTCGGTTTTAAACCACATTAATTCGGTGGTATGCGGCCACACTACCCCATTAACTTAAACACAGTAATTCGGTGGTGTGCGTCCACACTAACCCTAATTCGAATTAACAAAATCGATTTAGGCTCTACTCTGTTCGTCGAGGTGGAGTACAGAAATCGATTTAAAGGGCCCTTTAATTCGAATTAACTGGCTCTGTAGTGTGGACGGGTGAAGGGTTAATTCGGATTAAGGCAGCTAAATCCGAATTAAAGTCCTAGTGTAGACCAAGCCAAAGGGTCAAATCCATTCATGCTGTAACTAAACAAGTACACAACAGTGACTGTACACACAAAGACCAAATTCCTTACAGCTAGCTAGAAATGGCAATTAAAAATGACGTATTTCTAGCTTTCTGAACAGAAGACAGTCCGTGCCCAGCGTAATTCACAATTAGGGAAACTCTTATAGGGATTGTGTATTTCAGAGATGCTATAGCAAGTCTCTTGTGGAAAGTGTCTTTCACATTGATGCTGTGTTGAATGAACATTGATGTGTTATTGTTTTTTGTAAAGGTATTGTACAAAGTTACTGTATATATTTTTCCTATCATACTGCTGTTCTCATTATTTAAATCCAGCCAGAGAAAACTGGTTGAAGTTACCTGTTCTCAGATGGCACTATATCAAATAACAGCAGCATCCTAAACCTTCTATAAAATGGGGATTGGGAACAGGAACTGAAAATGAACCTTAATAACTTAGGGCAAACTTCTGCTGTCTAGCCATATGGTGGATCAGAATGCTGGCATTCCGCTCTTCTCCCTTCAGTAGAACACTCGGATCCACCTGGCAGGTTTTACCAACATTGTGTCCTCCCAAAGCATGCAGAACCCTCCCTGCTCTGGATCTCCATGCTGCTTCATCTGCTCTCCAAAGGCACTGGGGACCCTCTCCAAAGTAGACCTGATTCAACAAAGCATTGGATGATGTGTTCCCATCCATTCAACATTTAAAGCCCATGCTGATGTCCTACTGACCTCCCTGAGATTAAAACACACTTCAATGCTTTGCTGACTAAGAATTGGGTTGAGCACGTGCTTAGCTTTATGGCTCTACTTTGCTGATTTGGAACTTGCCCTCACCAGAAAGCAGATCATTAGCGTCCAAATATCGCTCCAAAGTTTGTTTGAAAGAATCTTGATCCCTCAGCAGTGGGGGCACTAGGAATACAGCCCGGTGTGCAAATCTGGGGCACTACAGATGTCATAAAGAATGGAAGAAATGAGTGAGAGACACTAAAAGAACAGGAGTACTTGTGGCACCTTAGAGACTAACACCTTTATTTATTTGAGCATAAGCTTTCGTGGGCTACTACTTTGTTAAGTCTCTAAGGTGCCGCAAGTCCTCCTGTTCTTTTTGCGGGTACAGACTAACAGGGCGGCTACTCTGAAACTAAAAGAAAAGCAGTTTTGAAATATACAACCAAGTTCCTTTAAAAAAATAAAATCTATAGATCAGGAAGGATCTGGGGGCAAAAATAAATAAATGAATTAATTCAAAAATAAAAAAGCGCCCCTGGTTCCTAAAAGGGATGTAGGGACAATTTAGTGCGGGGGCAGATTTTCGGCATCCCTTGCTGAAGGTTTAAGCCCAGTTACCCCGGGGACTGCGGCAGCGCTCGCGAGGGGAGTTTTCTGTTCCCAGCTCACGGATGCTCCTAGTTACAGGACTAAAAGAACGGCCACAAGGCAACAAACTTTGAAGCATAAATCTCACTTACCGGGTTTGCTGCTGCTGGGGGGGGGGGGGGGCGGGCCCCCCCCACGCCACAGCGGGGTGCAGGCGAGCTCAGCAGCGGATCGGCAGCATGGTGGGTGAGGGAGCAGGGGGCTGGCTGGAGCAGGAGCCCCCCAAGGCGGGGAAGGGGCTGGGGAGGGCAGCCGGGCAGGGACCCCTGTGCAGGGGAGGGGCTGTGGCTGGAGAAGGGGGGGGGAGAGAGGCGCTAGCCCCACTCTGAGCAGGGCTAGGGTCTGTGCCCCCCCCGGCCGGGCTGCCCCCCCAGCGCCTTGCTCCGGCGGCTCCCGGCTGCCCGTCCCCTTCTCCTGCCCGGGCGGCGGCTCCTGTCCCCCCCGCCGCTCACTTCCCAGCTTTATATAGACCGGCTCGAGCCGGTCTCTGCCGGCGGACCCGGCGCGCGCGGCAGCGCCATGTGCGCGCCGGGCCCGGCTGGCAGCAGCCGCTCCAGCCCGGCGTGCGCTGCAGGGAGGGGGGTGCGGGGGTGCGCGCTGGGGAGGCGGGGCAGGGAGGAGAGGCTGCCGCCCAGAGCCAGTGTGCGAGCTGCGGGGCGGGGCGGGGGGGGGGGGGGGGCATGCCCCGCCCCTCCCCCAAATCCCCCCCCCCCAAGGGGGTGACCCTCCCCTGAAACCTTGACTCTGCTCCCCCCCCCCAGCCAACAGGTGTCCTGCCTCTGCGGTGCACGCCCCGGGGTGTCCCTCTTCCTCCCCCCAACCCCCCCGGGGGCACCGCGCCCCACAATCCCCGGGCTCTGCCCCCACTCCCAGAGACCCTGGATCCTTTGCATTCCCCCCTCCCTCTTTAATGACTAGCCCGCACCTGGGAGAGGTGATGGCCCCTGGGCCCAAGCCAGGGGATGCTCTCCCGCCGGGAGGCCACCCAAGCTCACAAGGCCGAGTGACGGCCGGGGCGCAGCCGGGCAGTTCACCGTCCTGCGACTGGGGTGCAGGCACCTGCTGGACGCAACCTCCAGCCTCCTTCCAGCCGGAGCCCAGAGGCTGCTCCGGGGAGACGTGGCCACCCCATTCCCCGTAGACCCCAGCCAGAAATCCGCCAGGATTCCTGGCTGGCCCCAAGCCAGGCTCCTGGCTCGACCGCTCGTTGAGGCCAGGAGAGGACCCGTCTGCGCTGCAACAGGCGAGGGGATTTCATCCCCATGCACCGCCGAGCAAAGGCGCACGCTGCAGAGAAAGCAGCCCGCCCGCCCGCCGCAGTGCCGCGGGGAAAGAAGTTGGGCCAGAGGAGTTCCTGCGTTCAGGGGGGCTGTGGCTGAGGGGGGGGGCTGTGACTTGGGGGGGGCTGTGGCTGAGGGGGGGGCTGTGGCTTGGGGGGGGGCTGTGACTTGGGGGGGGGGCTGTAATTGGGACCAAACAAAGTGCCGCAGCCCCCAGCGGCTTATTTCACCCTTGCAAAGGGTAGGCGCCGGGGAGGGGGTCCCTGTTGCCAAGGGGTCGCAGCAGGGGAGGAGGGGGCTGCAGCTGCTGCTCGCGCCCACCCGTGCTAGGAGTCTCCGCTCTCCCCGGGGAGAGGAAACCCTGGAAGCGCCTCCTCGCGCTCGGGTCCCCGGCGGGCGCGAGCCCGGCAGCAGCATCCTCCTCCTCCGGCTCGGTGGCGCGAGCGCGTCCCAGGTTCAAGCTCGTGCAGCTGCCACTGACTGGAGCTGGTCCGGGCAGAACAGGTTTCTGCCAGTTTGGGTGTGTGTGTGTGTGCGTGTGTGTGGCGGCTGCTGGGTGTGAGACTTAATCCCCGCCGGAAGCGGAGCGCCGCTTGCTGCAATGGGCCGGGACGGTGGCTCCAGGCGCCGGCGTTGCATGGCAGAAGCATCCCCCCCCCCGAGGAAAGAGCCAAGCGGCTGGGGCTCCCCCTGAGTCAGCAGTTTGCAGCCGGCACCCCTGAATCTGCCGGAGCCGGCTCCATTGGGGTTGGGTGTTGTTTTAATTGTGTGGGCAGCAGGAAGGCTGGCGATGAACCACGCTACGGCCGCGTCTCATTGTTCTGCCGCAAACCCGGCCGTGCCGAATTGCCGTGCACATGGCCCCGCTTTGCTCCCTGACTCCCCATTCCGGGCTGGGGGAAAAAAATGACATTTTATTCGCCTGCCCTGGCCGAAAGGACAATCATTCGCCTTCTGCGGCGGGGTGGGGGTGGGGGGTGTAAATCTTACTGCGTGGACATGAAGAGTGGGTGATTTTGCTCATGCTGACGCGCTTTTGAGTGTGGAAGAGAAAGGGTTAACTTGTCACCCGTGCTGCGTGTAGGGGACTCGGTCTGTAGGAAGAGTCGCCTTGTATTTCGCGTGTAGCCCAAACGGATTTGACGAATGGGAGCGATTCTTGGCTTTGTGGTGCGCTCAGTTCACCCTGCAGCCTCCCGTTCAGCCGGTCAAGTCCTGCACCGTTTTGGAGGGTCAAGGTTGCGTCCTATTTGTTTAGAGAAGGGCCCTTCCTCGCTGTGTGGAAAGGAGACAAAAGGGATAAGTGTGTAAAGCAAAGGAATCAATGGGTCCCCCACACACACACTCTGTTTGCAGCCGTAGGTACTGCTGGCATCCCACTAAAACACTGCTTGCTTTGAAACAGCTGCATCCAACATTTTCTTTAATTCCCAAATACAGTTGGCCTATGCAGTTTAGAAAGATGTGCAGGACGGGATCCTATGGATCGTGCGTGTGACAGTGCAAAACCGCAGCCCCAGCCTGCTATAAGGCAGCAGAACTGGAGGAGGGAATGTGGTAAGCTGCTCTTTTAATAATAACGCTTAGCACCTGCAAGGGCTGCGTCTTCCCAGGACTATACAGTCATTCATTAATTATTTTTAACCACTATTTTGGGCGGCCAACCTGAGCCTGAGAAGGAGCCGGAATTTACCAATGTACATTGCCAAAGAGCCACAGTAATATGTCAGCAGCCCCCCCATCAGCTCCCCCCATTCCAACCTGCAGCGCCTCCTGCCCGCCAGCAGCCCCACCAATCAGTGCCTCCTGCTCCCTCCCCATGCCTCTCGCCCGCCTTGATCAGCTGTTACATGGTGCTCAAGAGGCTCTGGTGGGGAGGGGGGAAGAGCGAGGGCATGGCAGGAGAAGGGCTGGAGTGGGGGCAGGGCCTGGGGCAGAGCGGGGGGGTTGAGCACTGAGCACTCACCTTCACATTGGAAAGTTAGCATCTATAGCTCCAGCCCTGGAGTCAGTGCCTATGCAAGGAGCTGCATATTAACCTATGAAGAGCCGCGTGCGGATCCGGAGCCACAGGTTGGCCACCCCTGGACTGTTTCCTTTCCTTTTTAGTGCCACAATAATGGTAGGTCTCTTTTTGCAGCCTTAACAAACAAACTAAAAGGCTGAGTGCGGATTTCACTTTTAATCACTAGAAAAAATAGATAACTGTTTTTGTTAATTGTTTTAAAGCTTTCCCTTGGTTTTCATGTAAAAAAAAAAAGTGATCTGGTCATAAAATAGGTAGGACAGCCCATCTTACAGATAGTATTATTGTTTGTTTGTTTGTGTTATTGTAGCTCTTTGGAGCCCTAGTCACGGAGCAAGACCCTGTTGTGCGAGGTGCTGTACAAACACAGAACAAACTGTCCCAAAGAGCTTGGCTGCTTTGAACTTTAAACAGGATGTGGACACTACGGAAACATGTTTGTTGGTCTCAGTCCAGTTGCCCAAAGAACCATCTGACACGTGCACTGGTCATGAACTTAGATGATACCCTCAAAACGGAGTCAAAAGGTTGAATGGACCATTGAGGCTGAGGCACATTGCTGGGTATAACCCTCACCCTTCTGGATACAGCGTGTGACAAAGACCCAAATGAAGAATGCAACAAAATTATCCATGTAAGAAACATAAAATGCCTCATGGTTCCTTCTGTGGAGCTGTAGCTCCCAAACTTTTTCATGCTGTGACCTCCTTTGGGCTCACGTCAGATAACGTGACCTCGGGGGGTCTGAGAGGTGGTGATGGGGTTTGAGAATTAAAGGCTCGAAAAACAGGTTCTGCCCCTGGCGGAGCGGGGGGTTTGCAGAGCGAGCCCACCTTGTGCTCACCTGGCAATGGTAGCTCCTGTCCCGCAGGGGCTGGCTGGGCGTGGGTCCCCATTCTGGGCATTGCAACCTGGTCCCTGGTGTGTGGGTTTGTGTCACAGCACCACGCAGGTTTGGCTTGGCCCCTCTAATTTGAGTGAGTGGCGTTGTGAGTCCGTGCTCCATGAGCAAGGCCGTAACACCTGGAACAGGGAGTTGAGCCCAGCCAGCCCTGCAAGACAGGATCCTCTTCAACTGGGACATATTCTGGCTTTCTTACATTTTCTTTTTTTCCCTCTTTTTTTAACATCTCGCCACCCCCTGGCACCCTTTTGCGACCCTTTCTAGGAGTCGCAACACACAGTTTGGGAAATGCTGCTGTAAAGTAAATAACTCTGTAACCTCAGCTCCACGGTTCTTTATTCCATAATTTTCAGAACCAAGTGAGGGGAAACCACATTTTTGTGGAATGAGCGTAACCTTGGGACTAAAATGTGAGACTTTCCTCCAAACCAGGATCATTGGCAGGTATGTTGCTGAGCCATATGAGGAGGCATGCACTGATTCTACCTATGCTGGTTCTGCTTGTTCTGTGACTAAACAGAATGCTTGAATCTTAGCAGCTGCCCGGTCTGGCATCTTGCGCCAGCCTTCAGATTTTGCTTTCTAAGTTAACTTGGTTGATGATGTGATGAGCTTTCCTGACTCAAAAAGGTCCATTCTTTGGAGTCTGTCTCCAAAGAAGTTTGTGTTTCAGGCTGTTATTTAGCTTCTGGAAAAAGAACCTTTTGGGCTTGAAAAATTATTGGTAGCCCCAATTAAAAGAGTCACCTTATGTACCTTGTGAACCCATGGTGGTATTCGGTGCTTTGTTCTCTAAGTGCACATACTGTGTACTTGATACAATCAGATTCTGGTTCTTCTCGTTTTTTTAATTTCAGCATCCCTCTACACACATGCATTGTTTGTGAACTTAAAGCAGGGCTCTTGTTCTGGATTCTTGAGCCTTGCACCATTAATCATTGCTGTTTGTGTTTAAATTTACTGACTTTTGCCCACTTGTAACAGATTTAATTTTTTTATTAAAGCTAATGTTAAAAAAATTATATAATACGTAGGTTGTCTGTACATCTGGCTCTAGGGCTTAGATTATCCACAAATACAAAGTTTGTTTTTAAAAGTCATATGATACATAGAGTACATAATCAGCAATAACCCAAATTTAGGTGAATAGATTTAACAGTACAGTTTAGGTATTAGAATCTGAATACTCGGGTATCATTCCTGAAAAGTGTACAGAGATTTGGTTGTGGAAAGCAAAATATATCAATGAGTGGAGATTGTCCCTCAGTAATTGAGAATTAGGTAGGTTGTCCCTTTAGAAAATACAATCCAGGAGGAAAGTATTTCAGTGACTTTCCTGATTGCGCTTCTCATCAGCACGCCAGCTCATCCCTCCCGGTGCTGCCGATGTCCGGTGATGTGTTCTAGGTAGATGTCCCTCGACCACCTGATGGCGTCCGACACCGTGAGTTGCCGCCTCAGCCGAGCGTAGCGTTGACCGATTCCACATTCTCTCAGCTCTCGCTCGTTACTGGGGTCCCATGCGCCCAAGGCTCCGACAGTCAGTCCGTGTGTCTGAACCTGGTAACCCTTAGCTCTCAAGGTTTCGGCCAGAGGGGCGTATTTCTCCATCTTTCGAGTTTGGGCATCGTGGAAGGCCGGGGTCCTGTTCTTGAAGGGCACTGTGACATCTACCATGATGATCTTCTTCCAGTCCTCATTGGTGATGACGATGACCGGTTGCAATTGGCTGTCGGTTCTGGGGATGGCGGAGTTTACGGCAACCTTCCCCAGGGGTGGCGGGATGGGTCTGGCCAGGCGATCTTGAATGGCCTTGGGTTGCAGCTGCCAGGCTCTGAAATGGGGCTTGCAGCTACACAGGACGTGGGGTAGGAGTACTTCATTCAGACCACAATGGGGTATAAAACCGTATCTCGTTTGCTCTGCTGTACTTGTGGACTGTAGAAACTTGCCACATTGCCATGGTAATATAAAACTATAACACACAAATAACTCTGCCTAGTTCAAATGGGACTCAGACGAACTTTAAGGAATCTGGTTTATAAACTTTCAAAAATTAGGAAATAAATCAAGATCTTTGTTCAGTTCTTAAGTCATTCTGCTCATTTCATCTCATATGGCATGTATAATTTCTCAGTTGCTAAAGCCCTCCGGAGTCCCATCACTCAGATCGGGGTTAGTAAATGATCACACACACACATAGAGGTATATGTTATTGAGAAACAATCTGAGCTTTCTTTAACTTCAATTGGCAACTAACTCTCATTGACTTCAAAGATCATAGCCTCTGAAAACATCAGCATATGTCCCATCCTCTGTAATTCCGCTTTACTAAAAACCTTTGTGTGAAAAGGACCTTTCTGAAGAGTTCATGGCCCTATCCTCCACCCATTCACCCTGTTGGTTACAGTGCAAGTAGTTTTGAGGCAATGGAAGAGATGTGTGGCTCCAGATGAGAAAATAACATGCTAGTGTTCTTAGAATAAAGAACAAAGAAAGAATATAGGGCTACCACCTTTCCTTTGGGCAAAGCTTGAATGTAGCCCTGTCCTTGTCTGGCCTCTCGGTTGACTGAACTCTTCCTTGCTCATCCATCTGTCCTTTTCCACACATGTCTGCCTTCCTCCTCCGCCCCCCATTTCTGCTCATTTCCTTTGCTCTCCTTGATACTTTTCCTCCCACTTTATTTTGCAGAGTGTTATTCATGCAAACTGTCCACACTTTGCAGGTTGTTGTATACTGTGTATTTGTAGCCATGTCAGTCCCTCTCACCAACTGGAGGTGGTCCAATAAAAGATTATTGCCTCACCCTCCTTGTCTCACACTTCACGGAGGGCAATAAGGGAAATCAAGGAGGCATTGGCAAGGGAGATGTGCAGTTTTGGGTGAGGTCTGAGGGTGATGGAGAGAAGGAAGGCTGTACCAGATTGCAGCAGCTGCAGAGGGGCAGGCTCTTGCACCAGCTGTGGTGAGAGATGGTGCACAATGTGATGAAGGAGAAACAGGAAGGGGAGGCGAGAGAGAGAGGTGGTCTTTTGAGCAAGCTGGAGAAGCTTCTTGGGTAATTTTGAAAGCAGGTGAGCAAATAAAATGAATTGGATGCTGACGTGGCCGGGGAGGCAGTTGAGTTGTTAGGAGATGGGGGTGTTGTGGGAAGGTGGGCAACAGCGTTCAGCACTGGCTGGTGTCTGGCGAAAGGGCAGTTCATTTACAAGCGTGAGGTGTCTTTGGCTCTTAGTCCTTCCTCCCCTGGTTAATCCCACCCAACCCAGCTCCTCCTCTCCACTCTGAATTCCCTCCCGGGGAATCCTCTAGTCCCCCCTGTGGCGGGGAGCGCTCCTACCGCGTCACCAGTTCAGCACCTCACTCCATGGCTTGCCCATGTGCTTCAGGCCAGTCAAAGGGCCTGCTCAGCCCCAGGGTTCCCACACAATGGCTTGGAAACCAGGAGACTCGGGCTAAGGTATACACGCTACCTCTCTGATTTAAACTTTCTTTGGGGCTACTGACCCACATTCGCTCCACATGCGCCCTGCAGTCTGAGATTTAGTAGTGGAGATGGTCAGTCGCTGAGGCCTTTGGGACTGACATCAGGGGGACTCACCGAGCAGGCTCAGAAAAGCCTCTCTCTGTGCTTTAAACGGGCAGATTCTTCCATAGCTGGCTGATCAGGCGCCCAGTTCAAAGGGGTCACGTTGTCGGGTTGTTGGGTTCTGGCTGACAGCTCCATTCTCCAGGCCGGTCTGGAATTGTGTAGAGATTAGCTCACAGTGGCCCAAAGACTCATTCTCTCCAGAGCAGACTGGAGACAATTTAATGGATACAGTTTTCTATACAGGTAAAAAAATAAAGACCATACAGACATTTCCTGCTCTCCCCTCTGGCTATGCCCAACCTGCTTGGATTTATTTTACGGTGGCCATTAATTAGTCACATCACAGCATAGCTTCTTTTCTGAGGGGGGGATACTTGAATTGACCTCACTATTAAAATATAGCTGTCCGGTGTTCAAGAACCATTTATTGCAGTGTAGGCCTGGGCAAATCTCTGCTTTGTGGGTGGCATTTCTCTCTCCTAATAGAAACTGAAGGATGCTGCATAAAGACATATTTATAATTTCCGCCTTTTTAAAGCCTTCTGATGCCTTGCCACTGAATTGTGCAGGGATGGACAAGCTCAGCAGTGGCTTTAGGCTTCCATACACTCAGCTTGTTACAGTGGCAACCGTACAGCGGCCGCCCCGTGTGCTTAAACATGCAGTCTTCAGATATGCAACCTCAGGCAGGCTGGTGTGCAAACATCCGGCATACGGCAGTTAAAGAAGGAATTATGTTCAAACAATGCGGAGTGACGTATTTTTAGATAGTCAAGGAAATCTCAAGCTCGGACAGCCAGCTGCAGCACCCAGAATTCAGTAACTGTCCTGGTCTCAAAAAGAACAGGAGTACTTGTGGCACCTTAGAGACTAACAAATTTATTAGAGCATAAGCTTTCGTGGGCTACAACCCACTTCTTAAATTTGTTAGTCTCTAAGGTGCCACAAGTACTCCTGTTCTTTTTGCGGATACAGACTAACACGGCTGCTACTCTGAAACCTGTCCTGGTCTTGTTTTGAAGAGAGTGGAGTTTCGGTCCTCGGGAAGCGCTGCAGTGGTTCTAAGGAGTCACTGTGGCAGGTGAATTTGCTGCTAGGTTGCAGGGGGGAGGGATAGCTCAGTGGTTTGAGCATT